CCCCCCCCCCCCCCCCCCCCGTGAAGGAGAGGCCTGTCCTTGCCATGGCTCTGGCGCCGGTGTCCAGCCCGGCATCCCCAGATGAGGAAGCAATAGTGATAGAGGTCCTGGGAGTTTCCAAAAATTAGGGTACCTTATTTGGGGGTCCTTATAATAAGGATCCTATTATTCAGGGTACTAGATTAGGGTCCCCTATTCTCGGAAACCACCAGGTAAAGGACGAGGCAGACCGAGAAGAGCTGCCAACGATCAAGACCCCTGCTATGGCATCGGTCCTGGGCGAGTGCCTGACGGAGGTGTCTACGTTTTGGCATGAGCCCTATCACTTCCGCGCGTGCATGGGGGACCTTGTTTCTGACAAATAGAAACTCCGAATTTGGTGTTTTGACAGCTTGAGAAGGCATGCTCTGCGATGCTCTGATTCTGAAGTTGACCCTGCAGGTCCTGCAGGACATGGGTGCCAGCGTGTCCTCAGAAGAGGAGGAGCTTCTACTTCAGAACTTCCACAAGGCTTGCAGTGACGCTTGGGTGTGACCTCGGCTATCCAACGTTCACTTGGGAGGAGCTTGTTTACGGTCTGCTTCCAGTCCACAGACACTAGCTTTCGCTCTCGTGAGCCGGAAGGACTTCTTGTACTTCTCTAGTGAGCGCTCCGGAGGCCTGGTTCAAGGAGATGTCCAAGCTTCCACGCATGTGGGAAGTTGATGTGACACTCGGCCATTGTTTCAGAGGCTCTGCAAGTTCGCGGCTTGGGGCGTTTCGGGTTTCGCCCTCTTGCTGGTTTGGGAGTGCTGCTTGGGCACTCAGCCGCAAGATGCGTGGCCAGTGATGTTCTAGCTTTCTCCCTAACATCGAGTCGCATATCCAGCGCAGTGCAGAGTTTCGAGTATTAGTTTAGGTTCTCTCATGTGCTCGAATGAAAGGAAGTCCACATGCTTCACGCAACTTCAACAGATGAGTGTCTATTAACAAGTGTCGCAGTTTCTCGCAGGCTGGCTTCTGTGTTGTTGAGTGGTTCGACGACATCGCCGTGCAGGCTGTAGTTCACGTTTGACCCTCCTAAGGCGGGGCAGTCTCGAGTCGTTTAGCTTCGCCGGCCGGGACCAGTTCGTGGAAATCAGGAATGCAGAGGTCGGCTATAATGGGCTATATCTCATGGGCAGCAAGGCATCCTACATGTCCTGCCGAGTCTCATGTTGCCTCAACCGTCCACGGAGGAAAACTTATCCGTAACGCACAACGGCGCGCTGGACTAGATATGGTTAGATGCATGCAACGTGTTGGCGCAGGTCGAACCGATCCCTTCATGTAAGAACATCGCAAGTCAGGTTTGCTTTGAAGGATGGTGAGGGTGAGTTGTTCAATGCAGCCGAACGTCTAGCGTTGTCAGGTGCGTGCCCCCGACTTCAGCTTCACAGAAGTTCCGGTGCGAATTCAGTGCCTCCCGACTCCATCTTCAAATGTGGAGCGTATCAGACATGCTGTTTCAGCTCCCCTGTGGTACTAGTAGCTTAGAGTAGCTACTGTACCCGCAGCTGTAGTAGCTGGAGGACCCTCGAGGTGCTGTGCCTAGACGCCTGCGCGCACACACACATACACACGACCAGACACATGCTCGGTTTTGCCCAGTAGCAACAGGATTAGCTGGAGAGGGAAGCATGTTCGCTCCCTTGAGCTCCGATTGGTGCAGAAGGGTTTCCTTCGAAGCTAGCCAACACCGCTGTCACTCACAGCCGCAGCTAAGGCAAGTTGAGAAAAGATGCCACAGGCTCTGGCAGCCGGAAGCGGCGTGTCATTGCAAGTGATGATGACGAATAGCGCGACGAAGCTTGAGGGGGCAACTCACTATGCGACAGAAAAAGTCCAGGCTGTTCCGAACGGAGATCCTGCTGTTTGCAAAAGTCAGAAGGCAAGCAGTAAAGGCTTTCCCAGCGACAGCTTAAGCTCAAGAACTTGACATGCAAGCTTGGCCGCTCAGTTCTGTCCGAGCACACAGCCAGGATCACAATGACAGCAGCAGCAGAAACAAGAGCATGGAGCAAACCGCCACCTCCGTGCAACTACAACTACAGCAGAAACCACGAGCACGATTCAGCAGCAACAACAACAACAACCGCCCCTGCTGCTGCTGCAAGTAGTTCTGTTGCCACCACTTCTGTCCCTAAAGATGCCGGGAGCATAAGGAAACTGCAGCAGGGGCCCGCAGCTATGGAAGATGGCGCTGGGGAGCGAGGCCGACGGCGAGGAAGCAGCGAACGCTGCATCGAAAGCCGAGGCCAAGGCCAAAGCACCTCGCAGCTGGGACTTGGATGCGTCTGCATGTTGGCATGCTGCTTAGAAAGTAAAAAAGCGGCCAGGCCCTGCATGCAATGATGCATCCGAGGCGAAGGTAGTGCTGCGGCCAAGGGCAAGGCCAAAGCCAAGCCGGAAGCCCAGGCCAAGGCCGGCAGAGCCAAGGCAACCAAGGAAGCGAAGGCCAAAGCGAAGGCCAAAGCAAAGGCCGGTCGCAGGAAGACGTCCAAGGCCCTCGAGGGGGATCGGTTTTAACGCGGAACTCTCATCAACTCCACATCATGCAAGGAACAACCCGTGCACGGATCCAAACTGATCTTTTGTCGTGTGAAGTAGACTTTTAGAGTGGATTGCGATTCAACTCCTGCTTCGGGCTCCCACCAATCTCGGATCCTTGGGGCTGGATTCACACGTGATTCGGCCAAACCCTAGAAAATCTGAATCTAATCAGCTGGCACCCCGGGATTCAGGAAATTCAAGTTTCCTCTTAGCACCAGGTCTTGTCGGACAATGCGGTGAAGGATGTGAAGAGCGAGGAGCCCTTCTCAACATGGGCGGAGTCCGGTGTAGGGGTTTCTTGCGGGCTCCCATATCCAGTCCCCAGCAGACTTGTTCCGCATGTGTGCCTGCGCCTCCAAGCTAGGTAGGCAAGCACCACATACCGCTCTACGGAGAGCTGACGGGCGAAGTTCGGCTGATTGTTCAGCTTCCGAGCATTCAGCTGCTTGAGATAACGGTACGGCTGGGTGAGCATGGCCAGAACTGCATCCTGGTCCTTTGCAATGCCAGGAGTCCAGCAATGAGGATCCCGACAGGCCAACCAAGCCAGGAAGATCTGCGGCGCCCTACTTCAGCAGCCCCTATGATCAACACAATACGATTGTTTGGAGCGAGATGTGCCATGCAAGATGTATCCATCGCGCTTATGCTATAGTGAGGTCTCCAGCGGGACAACTTCGAGCCATTTACAGTCTTGCCTGGTCGCTGCACAGTGCTGCAGCGAGATGTGGGAAACATCACCAAGGCGCTGCCAAGCTGTTCAGTCAAGCACTTTTGGCAGTAGATTGTGCCGCTTAAGTGCTTCAAGCTCATCGGGAGCGAGGCGTGTAAGTCGTGTCATTGTGTCGGGCCATTGAAGGATGAAAAGTGTAGAGGGTCTGATGCCTTTCTCCGAAACAGCTCCAGTAAAGAAGCGTAAAAGTACTTGGCTGAAAATTCGGCAGGAATTCAAGAAGCGGCTGCAAGCCAAAGCTGCAGCAGGGGAGTTCGGTGACAAGGAGCTGCCCTTTGCTGGAGGCGACTTCCCAATCAAGTAGTCAAGAGAAGCTTGAAATTAAGGTCCCGACAGATTGTGAAGGTATTGGGATGGTTCAGCTGCAACCCACAAGCAGTGCCGGGTTTCTGTAGGAGACTCGCAGGGAAGAGCTGGGCTTGTAGCTGCCGAGCTAGTCAAAGGACACAGATGCGTCGTCCTTTCCACCCAGGCTTCATCATCTTCCGCGAGATCTTCAAAGAGTGGGGTTTCTCCGTGACACGGCTGAGGGCTCTCAGCTGCTCAGCTCTAGGATGCTGTTAGTCAGTCTTGTTCGGGTAGGGACAACGGTAACTCCTGTTGTGTTTAATCTTCTTGACTCCGTCAACGTAGTTCCACTTCCTACAAGGCCTTCTCGGGCCAAGGTGATCGTAGAGTATCACAAGCACGAAGTGGATCGCGATTGTTTTCAGTACATCTGTGGGATCTGCTGGCGCACCATGGCGAATGCCGACAACTTGGTGGACAAGGCCGCGAGGGGAAGTTACTCATGCGGGCTTGAAGTCATAGAAGTACAGGGATCCCCGACATTTGGCATTCAACATCAAACTGCAAACTCAGATGCCATATGCATCGTCGCACTGCCCCTTGGCACGCCTTCCGACCCGCCGTCCTCAACTGCCTGCTGCTGCTTCTCTCCAAAACCTTCATTTTTCGACCCTCGCACAGTCTCAGTTCCAGCACAACGTGTTCGCCGCCAGAGGAAGTCAAATACCAACACTGAGCAGGATACGCATTATAGGTTCTGCAGAGCACGTCTCGCAGGTGGCAATCGTTTTCCTCATCTACCTCCTCTCCGCAAACCAGCAGAAGTGTCTTGTCTGCTAGATGCGCAGAAGGTGCGCGTTGCGGTTTGCGGCAACAGATTTTGCAGGACTCAGCAACGAAGATAGTCGCGAAGCATCTTCAAGCACCCCTGGGTCTCGTGAAAAGACGTGATCGTAAGGGATTGGCTCAGTCAGGCCAGCGCATTGTTTGCAGGCCTCCTCAAGGCTGACGATGCGAAACTGCAGCTTTTCGTACCATCAATGCACCCAGACGTCCTGCGAAAAAGCCCCTCGATCCATGCTTGAATCGTCTCGATAGTCTTGGACGGGCATGGACATGGTTTCAGCGACGCCAACTTGATGTACACATCCATTTTCGGCTTCGAAACGTTTATTCACAGACCCGTCCACCACAGAAATCAAGACATGCCGACAGTACACAGCGAGCGCGAGCGAAGATCGTAAAGAATCGCCAGCCAATGAGCAAATAAGGTTTCGATCACATATCGGTTCTTATGACGAAAAACCCTGGAATATACTGCAATCGAAGACACTGCGTCAGCGAGCATAGGCTTGCACCAGCCGGCCTGTCGCCAAGGCAAGTCTTTGCTGTTCCGGTGAGCCACGAGGTTCTCGAGCAGCTGATCGTGGCCCGGCTGACAGTGAGGTGAGTCAAGTCCTGTTCACACTGCTGGCATTGTGCCGTAGTGGATAACGTCTTCAAAAGAGATGCATGAGCCGGGTTGTTACACACTCTTCGTGTTCTGCAGAGTTACGGGCTGTGTTTCTCATCGAAAAGTACCGGGTGAAGGCCGCGCAACGGAATGCCGTGCACAAGGTCTGATGTTTTCTCTTCTCACGCACACACGCTTTTGTTGAGGAGATGCCTCCAACCTAAGGACTTGAGGCAGCAGTGCCTCGCGCAGGAAGCCTTTGCAGAGTTCCACAAGCACCGTGGCGGGATTCGTGAATGTGTCTCATTGAAGCAACAATCGAAGGGCCTTCAGTTGGCGATCTCCACGTTTGGGTACAAGCTTCGCTGGAGCTTGTCTTGCTTGTCAGGGTCTGTCCAACGAGTGACGGTCTGACTGACTGCGTGCTTGGATCATCGCCATGATGGCGCAAGAGCAGGCATAGCTGTAGCCAGTAGCTGCGCACACCTCGTCACAAAAGCCCGCATGAGAGTGGAAAGAGCACGTCAACAGCATGTCCAGGATCATCTGGAAGCTGCTGAAGGAGGACAAGGTCTCCATAGGGACTCGAGCCAGCTATCGAAGCCTTCACTTCGAGACGTGGCATGCAATGGCCTCACGGGTCTGTGGGCAGCGGTGTGGCCGCCTCTGCCAGCCTGTGTCTACAGATACTTCCTTCAGGGCCAACCAACACACTGCCTGATCCTACTTGACGCAGCCAAAGTACAGTAGCATTATCGAGCCCCAGGAAAATGAGATTACAGAGCCCGCCAGTAGCGAAGCCGAGGATGCTTTTGGACACCTCGCCGAGCGAAAGAGGATGAAACTACCCATCGCGGTCCGGGCTTCACACCTCTCCTGCGCAGGGTAGTTTTGGGTCGACCTTTGACACTTTTCATGCCCATGTATTGGCATCGCATTTTGTTTTGTGCAAGCTGCGCAAGGCTGACATAGAACATGGCAGTAGAAGCATCCTGAGAAAGCCTTTTCCTATAGCCCGTGGAGACTCAGCGCAGGGTACCCGGGCTTGGACGGCCAAGCGCAAATTCGAGGCCATCCCTTGTTACAGCGGAGTCGGACCGCATCCCGTCCACAGTACAGCACTTTTCATTCAAAGTGTAGGTGAAAGGCTGCATCGTGTATTCCAAGCGCTTCTTCTCACCCCCCCTTTCCCCAGCCATTGGCAGCATCAGCTCCGTGTAAAGCATTCGCAGAGCAGCCTGCTCCGCTGTGCAAGACTGCAAGCTGAGATTCAAAGAAACGACTATGAAGCCAACACCATATCACCGCCCCCCGCGTGTAGTCAGCATCATCGTCAGCAGCATAAAGTCGCCTAGTCACTACCACGGCCTACCATCAGAACTGTGCTTCGCCTTCTCCCTCATAGAGGCGCAATAGTGCAGGACTCTCCGTGTGATGCTTGGCTTCTGGCTCATATTCCCATGCCAGGCAAGAAACAGGGCGAAGGTCGAAGCAAAAGAGGAGGAGTCCGTTTTGACCTCAGTCGCTCTTCGGAAAGATGCCTCGATATGGGGGTTTCCGAAATAGGGGACCCTAATATAGTACCCTAAATAGTAGGATCCCTATTATAAGAACCCCCAAATGAGGTACCCCTTATTTTCGGAAACTCCCATATGGAACTGATTTAGCAGCCTGCCATTGGGTCAGGCGGCGTGCCGACGCGCAGAACGCCAAGCAAGGTTGAAGAAGAGGCCTCAAGAAGAGCCCCAGCACTGGCTGTGTGAGCAACACTTCATCAGCGATTTAGCTGTATTATACTGTCCTGCTCTATTCTTATTTGCAATGAAGCATCATACAGTATAGCAGTGTGTAACGTGATGTAGTGGCATAATATAGTACAAGATGCAACAATACAATACAAAACAATTTAATCTGGTATGATACTAAACTAATCTTGTATATTATACTATACTGGCATACGATATGCATATGATATCTTAAAAATTGGGTTCGGCGCTGGATTTCCGAAGTGTTTGTGTGGACGGTCGGTGAGCCGCATGTCCTCAAGCTGCAGGCTTGATGAGCTCCAGCAGCCCGTGGGCGACTACGAGGTCACGTTATAGCATGTTTTTCGTATAGCATATACATATAATTACATATATATATATATATATATATATATCTTGTCTGCATGTATATGTGTATGTAGGTTATACTCCGTTCTACTATTGTATTTTACACAATAAGTACAGCAGAATGCAACATAACATAATGTATTGCAGTAAGCATAATATAACATAGTATCACAGATTGTATGATCTTGTGCCAGATTAGTCTTCCTCAAGTTCCCAGCACGCGTTCGTGTGGGATTGGTAGCAGCAGTGCGGTGATGTGCATGGCCTGCACTTAACATGACCTTGTTTTATTCATTCACCAGGATCGGCGCTACAGCTGGTGTTGTTTGAGAAACACACAACGAGAGAGATGGCTGCTCCTCATATGGTTTGGATTAGGGATGGGTCCAGATACAAGAGATGGAAGCACCATTTTCCGCGTTGCAGAATATTATCCGAGACTGAAAAGATTGTCACTTTCGTTGATAATGGTTCGTTTGGGGTGCGGGGCGGTGTGACAGAAGTGGGTCTTTTGTTTTTCTGCCATTCTCTTTGTGCTGCTTTGCACTACGGGGACGGTCTGCAGAGACTAGCAACTTTCATGCTTCTATCGTGTCGCTAGGGCTGCTAGGCGTACCTGGCACTCGGCTGACAACAGTGGCTCTTGTATCATCTTGGTGTCTTGGCTAGACAGACTCCGCTGAGCTAAGTCATGTTATGCAAACTGCGCCGACAAAGTTCCGTTGTGTCGCATGTGGGTGGGGGATGGGCATCCTGAAACACTTGCCGAACCAGGGCCGTAGACGATAGTGACTAGTGTAAAGACCCGTTTGGGGTGGTTGAGAGCGGAGGGGGGTATGCAAATGAAAGCCCCGCAGCCCGAAGCATCCGTGGCGCAGCTTTTGTTAGCTGTTGAGGTTACATTAAGAACCCCAAGAGGACATAAGCATAAGCATTTTATAGGGATATCCTTACCTTATTGGGCTTCATTATAAGGGGGTTTATATGGTATATCCCTATCCTAATTTTTGCTTATGTGCTTTCTTGGGGCCCTATTACAAGGTATGCCATTGCACTATGTGTTTTTTCTAATCAGCTGGCTGAGTGAATGCATTCCTAAAAAAGCCCAGAAGTGAAGGGAAGCGGACGTTTGGTTCCTAACTTCTCTTTGGGCATCGGTGTGCAGATATATGTAGAGCTTGCATGTATTGCATGGCCTGCTACAGTTGCACACTTGGACCGGCACTGCAACTTTCGCTCAACATGCTTCCAAGACAGGCTAGTCAACTGGAAGCGCGGAGCCCTTTGGCATGTGGTTGCATGAGAGAAGGGCATGGAGAAGCGGTCGAGCAGGTTGCTGTAGCAGCTCAGTTTTTCCGGACATGTGGAGACCAAATGCAAGACTTACAAACAAGAAGGGAGTTGGAGAGACAGATAGATTCAGATAGACAGTCGGCCAGATATGTAGATGTGCAGGTGGACAAACAGATGTGATGCGCTGACATGTATGCTTTTGAAAGACTAAATCTGCGCTAAGGAGAAACTCCTGGTGAGGACTGCGCAGAGCCAGTCACTGATGGAGAGGAGGAGGCCCCATCCAAGGACGGAAAATCGTGCACGTGGTGACTATTGATGACATTGGTGGTTGCGTTCCTGGTGCATGCCCTTCTCCCGGAGCATGGCATCAGCGCTGAGGTGATTGGTTCCATGTTTTTGAATGGGAGCAGCCAGTATAGGAATGGCCTAGGCCGAGACCATCTTCGGTTGGTCAGCAGTGTTTTAACCTCTCCTAGAAAAAGTACCATGACATGTTACAGCACGTGGAAGTATGCGCCTGGCAATGCAGGGCAAGTCAAAAGTCTGTGCGGTGGATAAGTCAACGAACCGAGGCAGTAGGTGTCTGAAAAGTTTAGAATTCGAAGGACAGAAGTAAAGATATCGGGGATGTGGCACCTGGACATGGGGCTGTCCTTGTGGGGAAGTCAGAGAAGTCTCACCGCCGAGACAGTCTCCCGCTAGTATGATTTGACATCTATACTTTATCTGGGGTTTGATTGATATTCCCAGTGATCCGCATGTCCGCGAGGACGTTTACAGAACCCTGTCCTTGCACACTATTTCGGAATCATCTGACCCAGTCAGCAGCAATCATCGTTTTTCGTACATCGCTAGGAAGCCATCTCGCTTGTTTGAACCACGGCCCCTGGTAGCAAAGCATGGCCTTAGCAGGACATGGTGGTCCTGCCCGAGGTGAGTCACATTGTGGGTGGTCACTTGGCACAGGTGTACAGGTGAGGGGGCTTTGTGGGCACTGCAGCATCTTGACAATGCGGACTCCTAAAACAAGTACGAAATCAAGTGTGACACAGTTGGACTTTGTTTCGGCATTCGCATTCGTGGAAGACAGAAACCTTGGCGAGGTCTGACGAATGCTGATGACCGGTGGGACGAGGACTCCGTTTGCTCATGTGCGAAGCATTCTGCCAAGCGGCGGGCTGTGGAGTCAAGAGGTTCAGTCTGCCCATGCTTCATTTCTGCCTGGTGCTGGGAGGCCAAGCAACTGTTGGACGGGGCCCTGGTTGAGGAGCTTGCTTCGTCGAGACTGCGTAGTATAAGGGAACATGCGATTTCTGGCAGGAAACCAGGTCGTCCGGTTGGACAAGGGAGTACTGGTTTGTATATCATGCTAGCTTTGAAGACGACACCTTCTCAGCAGCTCCTGAACCGTGCATGAGTACCTGCCACGAAGCTCAGGAATTGGAAAGGCTTGAGCCTCAGCCACTTCAAACACCACAGCAATCATGACTCGTTTGCCAGCCCCCGTTAAGCTGGAGAAGCATTGCAGACTCGTTTAACAACCGCAAGTGGGAAAGAGTTGGAAGATGATTTGCTCAGCATGATTTCCCATCAGGGCATACGATTCTCGATTCTGTCTTCAACAGCAGTATTTGGACAAGATTTTTGATTGGAGGCAATACGTACCTGCGTCTTTCTTGGGGAGGACGGTCCAGCCGGTCTGCCTGCCGCGGAGTCACCGGGCGCCGAGTACGTACCGCCAATCCTGGCACAGTGCTTTGGGCATCGATATATTGTGTGCGTGTGGACGAAAGAATGCAAAATATGCAGGCTCATTTCAGGCATATGCAGGCACCGTGGACACTGGAGTCCTTGCTGCGGGTCTCGCACTTTTGACGACAGCCTAGTGCTTGGCTTAGCCACGCGTAATGGATTAACGGAAATGGTATTCTTTCAAAGCCGTGTGCGTCGCGCCATGTTCGTCTGTGTTGAAGACACCAGATATCAGCAGCACACCGGTGAGGCCTCATCCGCCGCAAAGCGCAAACAAACCGTGCAGAACAAATGCATATTGCCACTACATAACACTTGGTTGCTTCAGTCTGCGGCACATTCCCCAAACGGTGAGCCCGAATTCAAATTGTCGGACATCTAGTTTCCACCAAGAAATGCTGAGGTTCCACGCAGCGAAAAAGACCCGGCGCCGCCCGCGGCGAGATGAGTACGACCGGGAATACGACGACCCTCCGACTTGAAGAAATCTAAATGGAGAGCCTTGTGTACCAGAGATGTTTTTTTACCATGGTGGATACAAGTAGGGCATCACAGATCTGCAAAGGAGGATGACGACGAGGAGGTCACGCCTGTCATGGATATGGCACACGCAGCCTTGCGCAGCCGAAACTTCGGGTAGTAGCTCAACAGTACAGAGCTGCTGTTATTGGTCGCATGGTGTGAGAGGTAGTGCTTGTAAGATCCTCGGCCGTGCAGGCTCACATCAATCCTTTCGCCGAAGAGTACTTCCGGAAAGCATTTGAGCTTGGAGACAGACGGCTCATCCTCACAAGAGTGCCAAAGGGAAGGACAACCTGCCATTCGGCTTTGTTGGGCATGGACAAGGCCATGAGCAACGGCGTGGCTGAGAAGCTGCTGAGTCAAATCCGCAAGATGCCAACATCTTGTAGTGCTCGAAGTGAGCAGATACCGGTCATACCTGAGCCAGGGACAGAAAGGGCCAAGTCCTGCGAAAGTGACGCATCTGGATCAGGCGAACAATTGGTGGTTATGCCCATGGGAACACCATCTCCGGCAACACCGGAACTGGCGAAAGCGCTGTTTGGCCCACCCAAAGATATTGAAAAAAAGGAAGACGACGAGGAGAAGTTTGATGACAAAATCACGTTCTTCGCAGATCGGAATATCTCCGACATGGAGGACATGTCAGACGTGCAATACGAGATCGAGCCTGAGAGCGAAGAAAGCAAGACAGCACGTCAGTTTGAGGCATGCTTGTCCCGGGGGCTCGAAATGTATTGTCAGTTGAAGTTTCGAAATCCTCAAACAAAATCATATCATTCGAATTCGGGAGGTCTAAGGTTATAATATGATATGTTTGGTATGGATGATTTGAGGAGATCTCCGTGAAGAAGACTAAAACAGATGATATTTTGATACACCCTAGAGTCTTTTGTCATACTTTAAAAAGTTTTGGAAATCCTCATTAGGTAATAGCGGGGGGGTTCCATTATCGCCACTTATTTACGAGGTGGATCCCCATAAATTATGTGATGGTGGGGGGTGTCCAACCGTGTCTGTTGATGTGGCTAGGACGTCGGACATCGGCCCGTCGTTGCGTGCCCTGGCTCTGGGCAGGCATGGTCGTACTATTTCGTGCTATGATATATTTTCGGATTCCCGGAGGATCTCACTTTGTGCGTTACCTGCCATACCAAGGCGGAGTGTGGAATTTCTCAAAGAGGACTTCCAGTGAGAGTAGGCAAGAAGAGTATGACCAAACCTCGGAGTTGCGAAGTTCTTTCTGGAGCGCCGGGGAAGGAATTGCTCTAGAGACCTAGCAAGCACGACTAGGAGATATAGATTATAATAATTTTTAATTGTCTTATTTTATTTTCTTTTATTGCTTATCTTTATTAAATATTTTCATTCTCCACTTATTTATATTTTCAATATATGATAATAGATTATGAATAGAAATAGAATCGATTAATATTATTTTATTCTCTAAATATTTATCTTATTGAATTTCTGAAAAAAGAAATTCTTGATATATCTATTCTATAAAGCGCTATTATTATTAAACGGATTCTATGTGGTATAGCCACGCTTCGGGGCGTCTAGATTTCAAAATTTTGAAGAAATTTATAGATAACGCTGCGCGAGCCGGTTCGGCCGACTAAAGGTCTAAAATTTCTGGAAAATTTAGAAGCTCGGGCTGCAGCTTTTAGAAGGTGGGACCTCTTCGACGGTCTCAGGCTAGGCCCAGTCTTCTAAATTTTTGGAAATTTGGGGAGTCGGGTAGCTCGACGCCTCGAACTCGAAATTTGTGGAAAATTTTCAATTATAGTCTTCTAAAATTCAGATATCGAAAATTTTTAGGAAATTTAGAGAATGAATATAGCCTTCTGATATTATATTCTAAAATCATACATTACAGCCATTTTGTAATCTTGTAATGGAATATCGTGCGTCAACTATTTATATAGATTATCGATCACAGGGATTTTCTTTTGAAGTGCTATGGAATAGTGCTTGCACGCGAAAGTTTAATATCTATTTATCTGTCCGTTGGTCCGTCCGTCCATTCCTCCATCCGTCTGTCTCTCTATCTCTCTCTCTATTTATTATATTATGTTGCGGGACACTTAGGCTTCGAAATATTGGAGCAATTTATATAGGTTATGGTGCTGTTTATAGATTACGGCCGGCGCTCGAATTGGTTCGATATTCTTAGGATCCAAAATTTCCGGAATATATAGAAGCTCGGGCTGTAATTTTAAGAAGGCGGGCTTCTTCGAGGATCTCGGACTAGGAGGCCCAATCTTCTAAATTTTTAGAAAATTTGGTGATCCGGGTAGCTCGACGCCTCGGTCTCGAAATTTGCGGAAAATTTTCAATCATTTCTTTTCTAAATATTCTAAAGATTTAGATTTCGAAAATTTCAGGAAAATTTAGAGAATGAATATAGCCTTCTAATATCTTATATTCTAAATATAGATCATGTATTATAGTTATTTTGAAGTCTTATATTGGAATATCGTGCCTCAGCTATTCATATAAGTTATCGATCTTAGGGATTTTCATATGTAATGCCAATATCTGTCTATCTATCTGTCTATCTATCTGTCTATCTATCTATCTATCTATCTATCTGTCTGTCTCTCTATCTCTCTAATTCTCTATCTTACTCTCTATCTCTCTTCTTCTTTCTCTCTATCTCTCTCTCTATCTTTCTCTCTCTACCTCTTTCTTTCTATCTCTCTCTCTATCTCTCTCTATCTCTCTCTCTATATCTCTCTCTCTATCTCTCTCTCTATCATTTTCTCTATCTCTCTCTTTCTATATCTCTCTCTCTATATCTCTCTCTATATCTCTCTCTATATTTCTCTCTGTCTCCCTCTCTTATCTATCTCTCTGTCTCTATCTTTAATTCTATCTATTTATGGATTTATCTCTATTTCTATATCTCTCTCTCTCTCTCTGATTCTCTATCTATCTATTTTTCTTAATCAAGGATAATATAAAGGCAGCTATTCATGCACAATATGATCATGAGATGACGCTCTCAATTTGATGGTTGCCGTTGGCTCCGCAACCTGAGCCGGCGACAAATTGCGTATACGGATATTTCACCTGTATATGACTGCTCTCCCTAGCTACGCAAAAGACCTTAAGTCCTACTTATAATTCTGCTCTCGGCCATCGATATGGCACTCCGGATGCAATTTGTCGCAAGGGGGTGTCACTTGAAGCTTGACTTCACCTTTGGGATGACTGCCATAATAGTCGAAGTAAATAATCCCAGGTTTCCTCTGGCGCCATGAATCGGTGTCAACATATATAATTAGATGTCCAAGTGACCGTGGCTGATTTTGGCGCCGAAAAAATATATGTAAGAATTCGATATCAATTTGTCCGTAGCTGCGCCGTTACACGAGATTTTCACCTTCACGTTGAGACTACGCGAGATTTGCGCCGCCGTGATGAGACTTGGCGCTCTAAATTTTCTATAAATTTTCAGACTTGGGCTGTCGCTGCCGGAATACTGCTAAGCTACATGATCTACTTGAATACCGCTGTTGGAAATAGCGGGTCAACTCTAAGATTCTATATAATATCCGAATAGTCTCAGACTCAATTATAATCTAAATTTTGATTAGATTATAATATAATCTTCTTGATATTATCATTTCTATATTGATTTCTATCTATAATTTCTATTCTTTTTTATTTATAGATTCTTTTTTAATTTTGATTTCTATATAATATATTGATCTAATATTGAAATTATATTCTATAATTTTTTCCAACAAATAAAAGAAAATTTTAAAAAAGATCTTATATATAAATTAAAAAATGAATTCTTTTAAAAAAGATGAAAAATATATAGAAAATTGAAAAATTCATTCTATTATATTATCATATTTATTAGTAAAGTCAAATTCATATTTGATTTAAATTCTTATATTTATAATGATTTTTTGAACCAAAAATCAAATTATCTTCAAAAATCTATTCAGAATATTCATATTTTAAAATTATATTAAATTATAATATAATTCTCGATGATATATTTTTATGATATAATATGAGAATTTTAAAGAGAATAGTTCAAAGAAATTTTTTTAGAAATATTAAATATGTTAATTGATAGAATAGAATTAAATATTTTTTAAATTTGCATATTATATAAAGAAATTGTATAAAATATAAGATTAATAATATATTCTTAAATTCATATTCAAATTAAATCATAGAATACCACGCAGAAGGCAATCCACTTCTTCAGAAGTCTCGGATCTGTCTGTAACCATCCATATGCCTTCAGGCCTTTTGGGGGGATCGGCGGAAGGAGGGAAAATTTTATCTGTTCCCGCCAGCTACAGCAGAAGAAATTGAAAATTCAATTCTCGGAAATCCTTCATATAGAACTCTCTATTTATTAAATATTATATAAACTATAAAAAAAATTATAGAGAACGATTAAGCCAATCAATATTCATGAAATATATTTCTAAGAAAATTAAATTAGCTAATTCAATTAATGTCCTTATCTGATTTTTTTCTCAATCAATTATTGCCCTCTCCCAAATAATTTCGAAGATCCGATAAATATTGCTAACCAATTTCAATCTCGCCGAGAAAAAAAAATAGATTGAACGACGTCGGGCATATCTAGCAATATTTGGATCGAAATTCGAATTTTAACTAGCCATCATGTCTTGAATTTCAATTCCTAAACCCGCCTAAACCTGTTCAATGGTCTAACTATCAGAATCTAAAAATACTAGATATCCTGAGCTTATAAAGAAAATTATTAATATGAAATACCCCAAATATAAATCCCACGTCTCGGTCCCGCCCGAACCACCCCTACTACCCCACGAAACCATTACGACGGACGTAATTATATAAAACCTAAAAAATCGATAAAAATAGAGAAATTATAACGCTCCATCAAAAGAAAAAATAATATCTAGATTTCTCATATATAATTCCTGGCCTAATTCAAATTTATAAAGAAAACGAAAATATAAGTTCCGGCAAATTTATAATCGGGCCTATGGATTTGGGCGACTGCATTCAAAAAAAAAGATTTATTATGAATATTTCCCGAAATATGCCGAACTAGTGCCAAACGACTCCCTTCGAGAGAACTCTCCAAATTTATTTTTCTAGAATATAAAAAATTTGAATAAAACTAGCCGATTCTATAATTTGAAATTCTAGATAGAATAAATAGTAATATTTCCGAGCAGATCTATATTTTAATTTTAATAAGATTCTAATCTATCGAAATAATTTATTATAACCTTCGAATAATTAATGAAGCTCCGAATCTTTGAAATTATTTATAAGAGACCTCCATTATAATTCGATATAGAGATATGAATTTATTTAATTTTTATTCAATATTTTAAAATATAATAAATATATATATTATTTAATATGAATTATATAGATCTTATTATCATTCCTAAAAAAATATAATTATTCGATTATAACGACGCCATCGTATAATTTTTATGAAGATTTATTTATCTCTGCCTCAGGTCGCAACAAGAATTTTTTAATTCAATTATAGATTCTTTCGAAAATAAGAATTAATTATGATAAAAATTGAATTCAACAATCTCTATCTTCTCATAATTTTATAAATTCTATATATGAAAAGCAAAGGAATCCATTTAATTCTCGCAAAGCAGTGGTGCAATTAATCGAGCACCCAGCAAGCAAAGGCAAGGCAGAGCAATGCAGGGCAAAGTCAATCAGAGCTTAGTCCGTAATATTAGCTACACAGGTAAGAGACAGCGCGGGCACTACCCTAAGTGGACGCGGATCTTTTCCTGGACTTCGTCTGGGGCGAGTCTTGAGTAGCAACACTGCGGGTGAGACAAAGTTAGCATGAACCTACCAAGTAGTCAGTGTGTACGTATACGCGAGCACATGACAAATCACACTATATATAAATTTATGAGACTTCTATTTCGAAGTATTCTTTATATCTAGAAATAGTAAATTTCAATGGGAATTATAATTTTAAGACTCCGTCGCCGCAAGCGACCTTAAATCTAGCATCTTATCGCCGTGATTATCATGTATGGAAAGTTGCAGGAATGGCCCTTTTATGTCAGGGAAGTCAATCCATCTTGTCTCAGTCCAGGATGTATGCAGACCTCAGTTTCATTGCGCCTCGGATCGAGTGGGACCAGGATTCTGGTGGCTCCGTGGCGATGTTGTCAATCGCTGGTAGAGGTGGCCATTTAGAAGTTGGTGCCGAAATCTCCGCACTGCATCACACAGAAAAGAAGTTGGTTCAAACAACAAGTTTGCTCCATCTTCTTCTCTTCGCGCTCGGATGTAGAAGAGCTTGTAGAATCATCTCGGGCTCGCCACGCTGTAGCCGAAAACCATCAGCCAGCACTCGCACACACGCACACACACACACACACCGAAGAAGGTCACCCACCGGCTGGTCATAATACATCTTAGCCAAGATCTGCTCCGTGTGGGTGGTCTGTAAAGTCTTAGCCCTCGTGCCAAAGCAGTGCGCCATAAACCTGGCAGGGTCAACACGAGTGCTTGGAGCCAGTCTCATGTGGGCAGTATGGAAACCTCAGAGTTCCAGCTGAGGCACGAGGAGTCCTCTTCGAAGACACTCTTGCGGAGAAGCCGCCATCCTCGGATCTACTTGCAGATTCTGCGAGTTCCCGGTTCAGGCTTCAGATTTCAGCAACTCGACCCTTCAAGGCTGTGCACAAGACATCTCATGAGGGCAGAGTCTACATCCTAAAGCCCTGGAGCCCCTGAGTTTGTAGAATCTTAACGTTGAACCTGGTGATCAATGACATGTCTTGAGCTTGGGCACTGCCCAGGCTGCTGGCCCAGTGGCTGAAAGAGCTGTTCGGGAGAGAAGCTGGCTGCAGCACAGAGAACCGCATCAACAACCTCTGCCAAGTGCTGTTGCATCGGGTCGTCGCAAGTAGGACGTGCCAGACATGCAGAGACGAGGGCGCGCACGAGCACGAAAGAGAGAGAGAGAGAGAGAGAAGAATGAGCGAGAGGGATCTGGGAGCGAACGAAATACTGTAGCAAAGGCAACAACACACGTCCCAGGCACGGCCAAAAACAATAGGGGATTAGCCGGATCAAATCTGATGTTTCTGCACTTGTCTTTGAACTCGTGCTTTTAACTTCGCGTTGGTTGTACCAATTATTTGTCATGCTCTCTCGTCCACCCTGGATTGCAAGTCCCATCATTTGAAAAGAAATGTTACGGTAACAAGTCTATGTCTTCTATGTAAGGTCTTGTGGGCCCAAGAACAGCAGAGGCACGCATCCTGCATTTAGAAACTGCTGCTCTGCCGCCTTCATGGAGGTCCTGCAAGGTTGCGAAGCGAGGAGGTCATGTTTATGCATTACGGCCGTGAGCTCGGATAGATTGGTGTCCGAAATTTCAGGTTCCATGTCGATTGACACCTGCAAGAGCACTTCCACACTGCTGCGAACCCTGAAAACGAACAAGATTCGTGGCAGGAGGAGAGTGCATGAATGATGTGGGAGTTTCGGGAGTCCGTGAGGCCGAATCATTCGACAAGCCGAAACCAACATCTCCAAGCTTCATGTAGGCTTTTAACTTTTGAACTTCAGAGTGTGAGACGAGTCCCGCGTAGTCCTGTCTGGCTCGGTCTCCGCTCGGCTTGCTGCCATCTCCTGTAAGTTCTTGTACGTAAGGTGGAAGACGTGAACTACATGGATGCTTAAAAAGGCTTGTCCGACTTAGTGGCGTCGACCGCTGCAGCTTCCATCATTGCGGCATGGTGACAGAGGCCAAGATAGGCCAAGCGTCCGAAGCAACGTGGACCCAGCAAAGCGCTGCACGGCGAGCACTAGCACGGGCTTGCCTGAGCCGGATATAAAGTCGGAGCCATGAGGATGCGACATAAAGAACCAAGCAGATAATGCACGTCCGTTGACTGTCTTAATACCTCGAGTTGCTCACAAGCTTTCAGCTCAGCGAAAACTTCGACCGCATCTCAACCGGCTTCTCTCAAACTCAACTGTCTAGGTCCCCGAACTTGCTCGAGCTTGGCTGACAGGTTTCGGTGTGGGGTCCCTTCTTTAACTGGCTCGCAGCATACGGATTCTGGTGTCCAACATTGGCCAATCAGAGACACTAGGCTCACTTTCTTTCATGTCAGGACGTGTGTGATGAGAAGAGGGCACGCGAGCATTTTGGAGGAAGTGTAATTTTCGTTTCCGCGAGTGATCGGACACGAGAAATCATGCATGAGCCGTTCCGCTGGCCAATTTTTTGTATACCGAGGATCGAGGTGGGCATAACAGGGGATAATTAGGCAACAGAGCCCAAGCGCACATGAAAGCATCTGCGAGATCCAAGGCATCGGCGCGGCAACATGCTCAGAAACACAGCACACCCGAGTCAACGACCAGACGACGGCCAGCTACCTCTCCAAGAGCTTTGCCCTTGTGGATCGCGGCAGACAGCAAGAAAGGTCAAAGCAAGCCGTCCAAGCGCAGCGTAATACTGCAACCTCCTCTCAGACCGGGATTCCAAGCACACTGCAGCAGCGTAGGTCTTAGCGACGATGAAGGTTTACAAGTTTGTAACATGGGGATGTGTATGGATATGTGCATTATGTTTGAGAACGGAGCGCGCAAAAATCCCATGTAACCCGTTCTGCTAGTTTGTATGAGAGGATCTCTAAGATGACGAGCGACGCAGAGACACAGCGCTGCTCCATGTGTGCGGTTGGCCCGCGCATGCTCAATCGTGCGCGCAGCTGCGCTGCAATGCTGTTTTCGTTTGCAACATCAGCACATTACGAATACTACCCCGAAGTTCTCACTCACCCACCTCTCAAAGCCAGTGACGAGTTGCCGCTGCACCATGGACAAAGCTTCAACTGCTGTGTTGCCTTGGTCCGCACGCGATTCCTCAAACCCTGAACTCTTATCGTACGATAGGGGGTCCTCAAATGGGTCTGACGGGACAGGGTGCCCAGCATTTGGGAAACGTCTCTCCATGCAGCCACCACTTGGAACGCGGCCTCGGAGGAGCTTTGGAAGTCCTTTGCCGCCTCGCGCGCGTCTCCCAGCGACTCGAACAGCCGAGCTGCTCTCAGGTGTAGACGGTCGCGGCGACGATGCTTCGGTACGAGGACTTCGCCAAAAAACAATCGGGCTTCTTCCAACTGCGAGGGGCTAGCTTTCAACAAAAGCGCCTGCACAGAAGCCGTGATGGCAAACATGGGCTGCATCGGGCTCAGCGTCGCCTCATCCTTCAGAAGCTTCTCCAACTGCCGGGCTGCCATGTCAGCATCTCGGCTGACTTCGTCAGAGTACATGGCCGTGTAGCGCAAGCGGTTAGCACGAGCCATATGGATCTTCTTGCGCACAGCACAACGGAATGTCATGTGCTCCAGCCACCGTTCCACTGTCAGCCGGAAGGCACAGCGTGCCTCGAACTCTGAATCTCCACGTCGTGAAAGCATACCGAAGACCGTCTCCCATATGCGAGGGACACACAAAGCCTGGAGCTGTGTGTTTTTGGCGGCATGATGCAAAGTTGGCCGCAGAAGCTGGGCTGCCAAAATCTCGCAAATTGCTCGGTGCCAAGCGAGATCGGCGCTCCATGCATGGACCGTCTCTGCCAGAATGTCACGCAGCGAGTTGGTAGAATCCAGGGCTGATAGGTTTCTGCCCACTTCTCCAGACAAGACGAGGTGACACTGGTGGCCGAGGAGCTCCTCAAAACGAGCGTGCAAGTCTCCCAAGCTGGCGCTGGCCGCAATCTCGAAGTCTACCTCCCGACCCGACAGCAGCCATCCTCTCACGTGGAACCTTGCGTGCTCGAAGCGATTGGATGCCACAAGAAACGGAGCAAGACACGTTCAGATCGAAAGGAACCCTGCGAGCCTCTCCTTCTCCACCGATGACTTGGCGTCAAGTATGTCGGCAAACATGTGGTCTTGCAGCCGTGCCGAGCTCACATAGGTCGCAGCGATCCTTTCCCGAACAATGCAAAACTACGTAAGAGTACATAAAGCCAGGGCCTCTTTGGTGTCTTTGTTGTTACAAGATTTTACAGGTCACAAGTACACATCAGCCCGTCGTGGTTGACGTGAACTGACATCAGTTCACCCGAATCCAGGCAGAGTCTCTGAACAGCCTTCCGCATCATGTCCGGATGGGTCTGCATGCCGGCGTTGTCTCTCTCTGCCCTGGGGCAGGCTTCGCCTATTTTCGGATTTATCGCAGCATCGCCCCGTCACCTGCTGCCCGAGATCCTGTGATAGACCAGCTGCCCTCCGAATCTTAATGCGACATTGTCCGAGTAGTGGATGATGGGAGAAGTGTGATGTTTCGGGGCGGTGTCGAAAGGTGAGAATCACTCTCCAAGCTTACTTCCCCCAGACTTGCGAGAAAGCGAAAGTGGCCTGCTTAATTATAGTAGTGGCCGAGTACGAAGTCGCAATGCAAAGCAGATGCAGACTACCAGTACTAGCCTTGGTGCTCACACGAACGATAGCATCAAAGCGTGCGGAGCCCTGAATCCAAAACTCCTGGCGCGGGCCCCGGCAGCCTCTTCCTGTCGGGATGGCTGTCCACCCGTGCTTCCGTCAGCCTCTCAAGGTCACGTTGTAGAGCGATTGAATCCGGCGAAGGAGGATGGCAGCAGGGCGTTGTAGAAGACACTCCATTGCTACGAAACATGTTTCATCCCGACGACATCTTTCGCAAAATCTCGTTCTTCTGCAAGCTTTACATATTCTTGAGCTTGTTCTTCTGACTAGATGACTAGACACTGGTCATCCTCAGATTCAGCATTGCTCCTCCCGGCCCTTGCAACTGCAGACAGAGCCTGGCTTTCTGCGAAAGTTGCACATCGAGAAGCTTCTCTGCGCACACAAGGCTCTCCTTGGCTGAAATTGCTACAGGAACGAGACTCCGGGCATCTCGAGAGGGTCTGGCCGGAGAGATTCCGCTTCAGGAGTGGCTTGCACCTAGATTCCTAGATGTCTTGGTTTTGGATTCTTGTCGATCCGTCCAGAAAGCGCAGTTTGCTTTGCTTCTGTGACAGCTGAAGGCTGCAGACTGGACAAGTGCGATGGGGGACCTAAGATTACCAGAACCTCCGGCTGCCAACATGCTTTTCATGGCTTCATGATGCTGCCTACATGGTCGTCAGTAAGGAACAAGACACAGAAAAATCTAGGTGTCTTCCGCAGCAGCGGCACGTTGTTCTTCTTGCTGCGGTGACCCACAAGGCCCCATGTGACTCAACATCGATGCGTTTTCCGTACACACGACATGCTTTCTTTCTTTCTTTCTCTCTCCAAGGCTCACCGAAAACGGCTTCGGCCTCACCATAGACTTGCCAACGCTGATCTGAATCCTGAGCGTCAGTTAGGGGGCTTCGTTGGAGCTCCAGGTGGCGCCGGACTATTGTAGAAGAGGGATCCAAAGAAGCTTCAGGAGAATTCTCGCGAAAAGCAGTGGGAGATTATCAAAAACAAATACCTCCCTGAGACAAGAATCGTCGGAGGCGTGCGCCAGCAGCTCGAGGCCTCGTCTCCAGAGTTGCCTGGAGGCCGTGGCCATTCCTTTCGCCGTCCTCTGTGCACTTCCACCACTGCATATCCAAAGACAATCACTGCGATGTGTTCTCCGATCTTGCCAATTCTTCCCATTCCGCTGCAGCTACTGCTGCTACGACGCAGAGAACTACTAGCTTCTACGGCTGCTACGGAATACCACTGCTACGGCTGACACGAATTACGACTGCAACCGTCAACCGCCATCGCACGGCTCTTGGTCCTTCAAGACAAGCAGCTACTACTGTACAGTACAAGTATTGTACCACCGCCATGATGACGACGAATACCACCACAACTGCCACTGCCGCGACCGCCACTATCACTTCCACCACGCCACTGCTACTACCGCGGTCGGATGCTGGATGCGCTAGACAGCCTTCGTGAGTTGCTTTGTGTTGACGGCCCCCGCGCACGCTCTAGGACCACTCGGAGACTTGAAAGAATCGGCTTTCAGCCAGTTTCCCAGTTTGAGCATCAATCTAGAGAGACAAGGAAACTGAAAAGCCCATCCCGATCTTAGTGGGCCGAATGCGAACTAGTCCACCGCGCGCGTTGGAGGTGAGAAGATGCGGGTCCTGTCCACGGGCGAGCGCAGTTGGAGCACGTCCAGCAAAGACGCGAGATCGGGCCATGGCCCTTCTTCAGCTTGCGGAAGCAGTGCTGAAGCAGTTGACGAAGAGTTCCCCTTCGCTTGAGAGAGAACTCCGTATGCTGCTGCGAAACGCTGCATGAACAGGGGATCCAAAGCATGGCCGGCCTGCAGCCGCAGTCGCTCCTGCCCCAACACTTTCCGGACTTTCTTCTGGTCCGGTCCAGTGCGCAGCTGGAGTTCCGACCACAGCCAAGTGAGTGCTTGCTGCACCGAGTTGAGGAGGACCGCCCCTGCCCCAACTGCAGGACTCTCGCCTGACCGAGCTTGGGCATCACAGCCTGACAGCTTGGTGTAAGCCGAGACACCGTCCACAAACTTGACCAAGTCTCGGCTTTGCCAATACTCAACCAGGGGACCCCAAAGTGACTTTGGGCCCGATTCCACGAAAGCACAGCCGCAACGTGAACGGGTGATGGCCACGTACAGTGCCTTCAGACCCCGGACCAGGGACGGTATCCGCTGGCTGGCAGAATGTGACATGTCGCGCTGGGCTTGTGTCGGGCGCTTGCGGCGCTTCTCGGCTGTCTTAGCCTTCAGGAATTCCTCTACGGCATACCAGGAAGCTCCGTCCCCACAGACCTGAAAGAAGTCGCAAATCACCACGAAATCGAACTCCAGGCCTTTGGCCTCCGCCACCGTCAAAATTGTACTTCTGAGGCCTGTCGGCTGGCGGCGGATCTCTGAGGACAACTTGGCAAAGTTGGAAGTTGTAAACTCACTGGAGTCACTAGAGCGCCTATTGCCGCCTGGCCTCCCGTTTAGTATCAGTGTTGGTTTGGGCAGTGGTGCACGAGAGAGGGAGAGTCATGTGAGGTGGTGTCGAAGCCTTTCAATTGCATGACGTTGTTGAGGGTTGCCAGGTATCGATGCCCGTTACTTTGGGAAGCTTGTTTGCACACGACCGCCTCAGCTGCATGCTGCTGCTGCTGCTGCTGCTGGTGCAGAGCTGCTCAACAGATATCTCAAGGACTTGAGGCTTAAGGTGCATGTCGCCTAGATGGCGAAGGCGCTGACGAGCCGAGTCCGCACCAACCAGCACAACGCAGCTCGTGGGATCCATGCTACAGACGCGGCGGTCACCAGTGCCCATCACCTGGACAACAAGAAGAAGTCTGATTTCCGTCCGATTTTGGTGATTCTCAAGCACGAACAATCTTCACAACGCTTGCGTGGACAAGGGACAATGTCCGCAACATCGCTTCCAGAATGCGAGTGTACGAAGAGCGGCACTTCGCCACCTGGCGTGCCGGCGGCAGATTCTTCCACGGCATCCACAGTGTTGGGGAACATCTGCAGCAGCAGCTCTGAGACCGCATTTGCCAGTCGCACGATGGGTGGTGCAGAGCGATAGTTGAAAGCCAGCGACATCTGGCGGCAGTCCTCAACATGATCCCAAGAGCACTTGGCAGCCTCCTTTTCAGGATGATCATCAACCAGTCCTGCAAAGGATGTCGGCTCCAACCTCAGGAAGGCGTCCATAATGTCTTGGAATGAGAAAGCACTTCCCGGGTTGATCGTTTGACAGGTATCACCCGCAATAGTAACGCCATCGGCATGTCCGCACAAGGACATGAGAGCAGTCAACTCGGCAGGTGAAAAATCCTGAGCTTCGTCCACATAGATCTCGTGAACGAGCCTCAGTGTCGGCTTTGACAAAAGAAACCAGGCGACCTTGGCCCAAAGGTGGAGACTGCCTGCTCCAACATCCGTCACCCACGCACAAAAAGCTCTTGAAACAAGTTCCTTGTTCCTCGCCATGGAGCGCCCCCGCACCAGCATTTCGAAGTGCTACGGCCACATCGGTGCCATCGGAGACGTTGTACGTTCGCTTGAAGCGCAAGTACTCCAGAAACATACCTGAGAGTGATGAGCTCCGCTCCCCCTCCAGTCTGCACAATCGCTTCGGCTCTCTCACAACACTTACGCCTGCAGTGCGTCGTTCGGGCCGTGTTAAAGTCTGAAGTGTAGAATGACTCCTTGCGGGTTGGCAAACCAAATCTTACGGCAATGCTTCCGGAAGCCCTTTGCTGAATAACTGAACCATGCACTTGATACGATAGGCAATGCCCGAAATCTGAAAGGCACGTCAAAAAGCAAAGACACCCTCGCCCATGTCAAAGCCTCCTTTGGATGACTTGGAGCTGTGGTGCGGTAGATCTCCCGCCGTTGCTGCGGTGGAAGAGGCACCCCCATTGCAGACAAGCCCTCACCTGCCAAGCCAACACAAATGCTACAACCAGCAATAGAGCAATTTGAGAAGAGGCGGAAGCTGCAACACTCCGTGGAGTTCCGGTTTTCGTCATCGAGCCCTGTGCTCCGGGAGCACGGATTTTCAAAATTCCCGGGCACCTCAAAGCCAGCAGAAGCACCAATTCCCCAAAATCACGAAAACGTGTACAGCAACTTGCAGAAGATGCATAACTTGTCACACCAAATTGTTTCGCCTTCGTCCTAGCATGGACTGCATGGGCTATGCAGTTGCACTGCCGTGCCAGTGGTGTCCTAGCCAGCAGGAACCGCAAACTAGACCCTGCCGGACATGCGCAAACACTACACAAACGAATCGTCAAAACTGCCGAAACGAACCACGCGAATCGAACCAAGCATAAATCTGACTCAGTTCACAGTTAGCCGTGCCGAACCGAAGAGCGGTTACCCTGTTGACGCTGCATCAAGAAGCCGCACGGCCTGCAACAGCTTCGCAATACTGCTCTTGGGTGAGAGAATAGCCACCAGTGCTGTCCAGCGTCTTCTTCCTCATGCACTGATTGGCAGGACGGCTATAGATTGCCACGAATCTCTTGACACCTACATTCCTCTTGCCTCCACAACGACCTGTCTTCGCAAAAAATGTGTGGAAGGCCTTCCGAAGACGAAAAAAAACAGCCGAAATGAGCGCAAGCAGCTCTTGGTACTCTGCGAAGGAGACTGGCCCGAGGCCCTCGAGGCTGTGCACGACGGTGGCATCAAAGCTCCGCAGCCTGTTGTGGAACTCTGCCCAAACCTAGGAGCCATCGGTTCGAGGTCATGGGGTCGTCTTGGAGAAAGGAAAGAGACCGCCGCTAGACTGAACTCACAAGCCAGGAAGCCAAGAGTGGATCCAAGTCTGGTGGAGGTTTCAGGGAAGGCCAAAAGCGACTCAAGAAGCCTGAGTATTGAATGGCCGGCTTCGCCTCCGGGACCAATGCCTCAACCAATTCGTCCCAGGTCACACCTGCGGCAGTCCGATGGCCCTGGAGCCTGGAGAGGTTGGTACTCCCCTTGTGGGCTTGGGCTACCGGTGTTTTTGCATCCGGGCTTGGCGGGTCGGCCGAGCAAGCTACACAGGCAAGTGCCCGTAAGCCTTACCTTACCTGCGAAACCAAAAGGCAGACTTTCTGGCCAGGTGCAGACAGGTGTACCGCCACTGCTGCCACGCAGAAGAGCAGCATCACGAGATGCACTGCCGAAAACCGCTAGCTGCTCCAACACCTGTGGGATTGTGGAGCAACATGGAGCAACTGGATATGGCAGGAGCTTTCGCAACGAGCAGGCCTGTGCGCACAGCAACGACGACCGAGTGACGAAGAGGCGCTGTGCAAAAGGGAACTGGTGGCGTGCACGCAGGATGCGGTGAATAATGCAAACCGTTTTGCCAGTGCCAGAGCGACCCTGAAGAAAAAGGCTGTGAGGGCATTCGATGATTCTTCGCTGTGCGCGGGAAGGCTGCACTGTGCAAGAAGCAGCTCCAGACCGATCTCCATACTGCGAAAGCCGGGCGGCGATGTCTTCCATCAGTTCTTTGGCAGATACTTGTACCCGGCCGTGAATCCATGCAAGTGCCGAACTCTGCAGAGATGTCTCGCAGATCGCGTGCACTTTGAGGGCAGCATTTTGCACGTCCAACTCGCAGGCCTTCAAGCTGGCGAAGCATTCAATGCATCGGACAGATTCGCAAGAGTGTGTCCGGAGTCCGCAGCGCCTGCAGCACCTCCTTCGGGACGGTCTGCCGCAAGGCAGCGCGTGCTCTGAGCACGGAGGCCTCGGCAGCTGCCAGCTCCTCGTAGATGGCCTGATCTGCACCTGGAAAGCCTTGGGTTCAGATGCTGCAATTGCAGCACACGGTATCATGTCCAGAAATATCTAGCACAATGGAGCACAGTTCCTTGCTGCCTGTTTTCCTGGCTTGCCTTCTTGTGTGTGTGTGAACACCACTTCCAAAGAATGTAAAGTCTTGCAAGCAGGGGGTGCCAGGAGCATGTTGGAGTCTTGCACAAACGACTCTGCAGACTGTTTTTAATATCATGGGCAGGCAAACGTCCTGCACCTGCATCCCCCCCCAACAAGTAGCTGTGATCGCTGTTGCTCCTGGTCTTGGCCATGATGTCACAGATATTTATTCCAAGAGCCCCTCCACAGCAATGGTATATTCCATTCACTGTTTGTGTCAGGTGCAGGAGCACCAGTCTGGCTCGGAGGTGGGCTTGCTGGATAGCTCAGTCTCAACAATTGCTGGCACAGGAGAACACAGTCAAAGCTTCTCACGACTTCGCCGGCTTCAACAGTTTGTTCCTTTGCAGACTTGTGTGTCAGCGCTCGAGACGTGGAACAGCTGGCGAAGCTCAAGCGACTCTAGCTGGAAAGCTGTGGTTTCACAAGGTTCGTGACTCAAACCCTTTGTTGGGAAGGTGAAAAACCCTCAACCCGAGCACCAGTCTGTGTCCAGCGGCCTCTGCCCAGATAGGAAGACACGTCGCGCACGACGTAGGGGTGATCCTGCGCAGGCTGGAGGAAATCGCTCCGGACTCTCGGAGACCCTTCGAGGGCACGAACTGTGCTCGTCCTTCAACAAGGAATTGAATACAAGTCATGGTGTACATATGTGCACTTGACCTAGCTTCGGCCCTTCGAGTGCGAACGGAGAAATGCTACAAGGCTAGAGTCGCACGGCCAGGCCTCTCCCAGGCAAACGGTGGTGCTTAAAAGCTGAGGGTCCTCGGGAAGGTCGGGGCAACGTCCCCGCTGCGCTGCTTGATGCGCGCGGCGCTGCAAAGCCCAAAGCTCCGACGTCTCGGCAGGGTCTTGAAGCGGCTCGGGTCCAGAGAAGTGTCGTCAACAGCGCAACACGACTTTTTAGATACATTCGGGCTTCTGATCAACCGAAAAGGAGCCTTTACGCCTTTACCGCAGCGATGGGAACTTGAGACACACTGGGCCAAAGAATACCGGACGTGTGATGCACCGAAAACGGATTTCCTCGCCCCTCCGTGATGCCAGGGCACGAGGCTGCATCTGAAGCCCTGGTCGCTACAAGGCGGGGCCATTTCCGAAGCAAGCGCCCAGGGCCGCCATGGGTCGCCAGGCTGAAGGTTCGAAGACCGAGCAGTGAAGCTGACTTGCTCTTTCATTCAGTTTCTGGTTCAATCTTGCAGTGGCCTTCCCATTCCTGGCGGCCCTGTTTGAGATGTCTAGCAATTGCCATGGAAGGACGGGTCTCAAGGGCCTCTGTCACCTGATCGAACAATTGATCCGTGAAGTCCCCATGACCGCCTCACCGGCATTGGCACTTTCTTGCAGCAAGCAACAAGTTGTGCGCACCGCTGTCGCCAACCTCTTTCCTACAATCTACGTCCTGCTACACCGACGGGGTCGGCAGGCAAACCTGCCCCGTCGGATCGCTCAGTCGATCTGCCGCAGGGGCCTCGGCATCCTGGGCAACAAAAGGCCGCAAGTCTGGAACAAAGTGATACTGGGAGACTCGGTGCACGACGTTCTAAGCTCCGAAGAAGTATACCACCCAGTGATGGCAAAGCCCTGAGCCAGTGGCTTTTTGGAGTTGAGATTTTCAGCAACCTTCGCCTGTGCAGGACAGCAACAGTGCCAACAAGTTGTGGCAAGTTGTTCTGCAACCTGTGAAGCGGACATGCAAAAGGCGCCTGCTTTGGGCCCATGCGCTTCCACTTCAGTATGTCTTTCCTCAGTGACGTGTGGAGCACAGGTTGGTTCAACCTTCCTTTCTGCGATCATCTCAGTCTGGTTTAGGAGTCTCAGAGCCCTCTAACAGGCACCAATGATACTCCGAGAGGCACGACATATCTTGGCCATCTACGCAGGAGTCCAAGCTCTGGCGAACTCTCTTGGCCGAGCATCTTCGAAAGCTTCTTGCGCGGCTTTGGCATCAAGGTGGAGCGGATGTTGAAACTAAGCGGCACGCCGCCTGGCAGTCGGCTCTGGTGCGCTAGAGGCGAGCTTCTTGGGCCTTGGGGTTCAGGGCCTTCAGGTCAAGCGGAGCTCTCTGGGCTAAATGCTGTGTCCGCCTTCAAGGATGCTTGCCCAAAAACTCTACGGCAACATCAGAAAACCACATCTGCGAGTGGCATGCACATGCACCCCTACCAGAACACCACCCGGACATCCGTGATGTTCCGACGGTTCCACAATGAAATTCCCAAGCTTTGGATTCAAGCGGCTTATTCTGAACTCGTCCCGCATCGCATTCTGCATTTGCCTGATGTAGTTCCTCGGATTGACAGTGTCACCAGAAGCTGTCAGCTAGCATGAGGTCTAGGCCTACAGGTAGGCCACGAAAATCCGAACCCTGAAGCTCTAACAGCAAAGACTCTTGGGAAACTCACCGTAGGCGGAGTTCGTCCACAGGACAAACGTCGGTGGCCTTGCCTGAGGGCGAAGCTGCTCGACAGCTGACAGTTCAGCATCAGCCTAAGGACCCTGCCCGTGTCTGCGTCATGTACTTGATGCTGCACCTCGACGGTTGATGCAGCGGAACGCAGGGGGTTTTCAACTAGTGGAACCCACTGCCTTCAACACCATACAACCCTGCAAAAGCTTCGTCCAGTTCCATGCGATGCAGCTAAAGCCAAAGAGTTCAGGCTACAAGGCCCTTAGCCCTCGGGGAGAGAGTGGCCGATCTGCAAAACCCCCTGTCCAGTAAAGACGAGTCAAAGGACACGCACACACCTCCTACAGTGGGATGCAAACCATGTATACGATTCTTGGGATGAGACTTCTGCCCATTTCTCCAGGGAGGAGGCCAGCGCAGCATCCAAGCCTCACTCACTGTGCCGGAGCCCCGAGTTGTGGCGGTATCGGGGCGCGCATGATTTGCTCCAGGTCAGGTCGGTGTAGGCTTCTCTGTGGGGTTGTTCATGAACTTCCAGTTGTGGTGCCAAGAGCATCCATATCCCACTTGGCACTCGGGGGTTGCATGACCTGGGTCTGGCAACGACCAGAGCTTACTTAATCCGCTTTTAAAGAGACGTGAAGAGAATCTCAAGGCCGAATCACTTCGGTAAACCCTGCCGACCTGGCCTGAAGCCAGCTGTTCAACCTGCGTGGGCAGCTTACAAAAAACGAAGAGGAACTTCGCTTCACCACGTTCTGAAGTTCTGAACTGTCCTGCTTGTGGGAAGCCGTGCACACCACCTCTTGTAGAGCGCTAGGCTTCGCGTCCTTTGCTTGGCATTGTCGGGGGCTAATCCCGTCAAGACTTTACTCGACCGACTATTCGTCCGCACGTCGGCTCTGATTGCCAAGGTGCATGAGCATAGGCAAGTTGAGATTATACTTGGCCGAAAGGAACACGACAGGGACGCCCTTGATGGAGGAAAAGCACTCAGCAATCCTGTGCAGAGAGGTGTAAGGGTTCAAGGTCCGCGCACTGCAATGCAACCGGATTTTGCCATGATTTCTTGCCCATGTGCCGATGAGCCACACCTCTCCCCGCTTCACTAGGTATGTCACCTGTTCAAGGAGATTTTGGCCTCTTCAGGATCTCTTCGCGGTATTTTGGCTGGTCGTTCTCGTGGATGAGGTCCCATTTGTTGATGGCCTAGGCGAACAGCTGGGGGCAGTCGGGCAGCTCTTTCGCTTCGGGGAAGACTTTGCAGCCCGATGCTTTTTTCGGATGCCTTCGTCTTCTGAGGCTGTTGGGGAACAGTGGAAGAATATGCAGTACTGCAGGCATCTACGTCCAGTCCTGAGAAAACCACAGAAAGCCCTTACCTTTTGCGGACGCATAGGCGAACTCAGATCGCATCATGCCCTCAGCCCCGTGTCGACCACACCCGTTCAAGGCGTTTCGACCCGGCAGCGGTTCGGGGATTCGCACGCTTTGGCTAGCAATGGCACTGTGGCACGCGACAGGCACCTTTGCACATGTTGACAACCATCAGCCTACACATTTAATAACTTGCAGCTGAGGTGAGTGCCCGTCAGCATTGCCTATCCATGCGTGCTGGGATCTAGCAAGCGAGGCAAAGCAAGCCCAGTGAGAGTAGATCTACTGCTGGTGAAGACCGACTCGGCACAAGCACTTAGTCACAGCATCTGGCATTCTGTATGTCAATGCCATTCAACAGCAAACTCACTAAAGGGCCCCGTGCCTTGCACAACTAGTTAGCTAAAAGTCACAAGAAGGCCGTCAGCTGTGCGGCAGGCACCGGACTCTCACCGGAACTTGTGTTCCCCTGGAAGAGCTGCACGGTGGCTCTTCGAGTCCTTGCAGTTGACTCTGCTTCTCTCTTTCTTTCACTGGGCATGGGGGAGGGTGAGGCTGATGTCAAGATTGTGCAGCTCTCATCACGACAGCCCCTCGGTCGCTACTCGTGCAGCCTGCGTAGACCTCGTCAGCCCTGGGGTTCCTAACTTTAGTTCCGGTTGGGCCCGCTGCCTGGATGCACTCTGTCGGTGGCGCGTCTTCGGCGTCCTTGCCGACACCTCTCAACTCGGAGCTTTTTCGGTGGACACAGCTCTGTGCCAGCCCCAAAACTGAGCGTTGTACCTCGTGCGCCTTGGCGACCTCATCCACCTCAGCCAGAAGCAGCGAGCCCTCCCCCCCTCCCACTCAAGATCCCAGCGCCTTCTGCCGAGTGTGGAAGAGGTTCCGCTGCCAAATCCAAGAAATCTGGCCAGCAGACAGGAAGGCGAGAGCAGCTGAGAAAGGCATGTGCAAAGCCAGTCCAGGCCCCAGAGTCAAGAGGAGTGGCGGAGTGTAAAACCGTTATGTTACCCGTACAGTCTGTACAGTGCTCGCTTTCGCCTTGCTCTTGAATCGTGCTTTCCGGCTGTGCGGGCTTCCATGGAATCACTTCTCGGGCCCTGCGCCTGCTCCGCTGTCAGCTGAAGCTCACTGGGCACTTGCTTGCGCAAGCTGCACTCAGCCCGGATCTCGTCTGAAACCTTGGTCCGATGATTTGCCAACTGGCCCTTTCCTGCGGTCTGCATGCAAGCGCTCTTTTCCCGCTGTGTTCACGAGGGAGCTTCTGAAGGAGCGTTTGCCTGCTGCTGTGCCACGCTTGGCTGCAGTTGTTTGCCGGAGCCTCCAAACTCCATGGGGATGAAAGGGCGCAGCGCCAGGATGTCCAAATCACCAATAGGTATCGGGTAGCCCCGTTGGTGGATTTTGATATACAGCGGATGATTTTCCAAATAATCACGTTCCTCAGCGGTGAGGTTCTCCAAATTCACAGTCGGGGGCGTTGGCTCCTCTTCCTCCGCTCGGTTACAAGCAGGATGGTACTCTGCAAGGGAACGAAACATCTAGGGAACCCCACATCTGACAACTCCAACCTCACGTGAGCATGCCACTGCATCGCCACCCCAGTCAAAAACCCAAAGAAATATCCGATACATCCGAAGGCCTCCTTCTTAGCTGCCTCGGTTATTTTCCGGTCGCCGACCTGGCCACAAGCTCTCGTCAGCTGTTGGTAGTGGTTTGTGAAGTTGCTGTTGCAGTTGCATGGGGGAGAGAGAGTCCCTACCACAACCGGAACCCCGACCAGAAGCCTAGAAAACCCTTGCTCCGTCTTTAGGGCATCGTTACAGGTTCCACAAGGTTTTTCGAGTCTTATCTAGGTTGCACGGGTGTTGTTTCAGGTTTCGAGGCGGGTTGGTGCTTGGAGTTTGGTTCCGGCCGGTGGAGGGCTCTGCCGTTCAGGACTCTGGATACGCGTGGCATGAAATTTTTGCATTACATGGGAGGCAATTGCCTGCTTCCCGGAAGATCTGCGGGTCTGGGTGGCCTCAACCTCACCCCCTCACCAGGTCCGGATGACAGCCGGGTGCCCACAAGGGTAGGAGACTTGAGCCAACATGTCTACGGCTCGCCCGTCGGGGGAGGCCATGGGGGACGCCTGTCGGTTGCAGGGATGCAAGGTAGCTTAAGGTCTCTCTCGCTTCTTCTTGTCCTGTCCTTTCTTCATGTTTATTCTCGATTGTCACAGGTCCAGGATGCTTCCCACTCTGTCTGTGACCCACTGGATTGCGCAGAATGCAGCCATCCGTTGACTCTCCCGAAGCCGACGTCAGACTAAAGGCAAATCTTCCAATCGAAGGTCAAACCGGCTTCACCCGATGATTATTAATGCAGGCACAGCAAAAGCCACGTGCTATTGCACATCTTCTCCAAAACTCCGCATGATCCCAACTACGATTAGCACAAATGTGCAGCCCTGAGCCCACCCTCCGAAGGCGCCGCAGGTGGCTTGGCAGCGGCTTCGGGGGCGGAGGCGGCACCTCGAAGTCCTGCACCGCAGACGAAACAAAAAACATGAGACCATCTCAGCCTCTGCCGTTTCTTCTCTCCCACCTCAGGTACCTGGCATTCCTCCGGGGCCAGCTTCCGCAGCCTTCGCAGCTTCTTCGCAGGCTCCGGCAGGAAGCCCGTCTTTTTCTGCCTCGCTTTGCCTTGCGCCTTGGCCTTGGCTTTGGGGGCAACTTTGGGCTTCTCCAGGGCGCCGATCTCCACAAGATGTCGCTTTACGGCCTCCTCAGAGTTGAAAAGCTCCTCAGAGGGACTCCGGAAGGAGGGTTCGCTGGAGAGCCCATCGAAAGTCATCTGCCAGCTTTTCGGGAGCCAGCTGGGCCAGTGATTTGGAAACTTCCTCGGGAGATGTCTGCCTTTCTGGTCCACGGGTACCAGCTCGTGATCATACGCGGCCTGGACCATCGACTTATGATGAACAATCTTGGATCCCAGATTCTTGGGTGCCACGAAGACTTTACGCCTGAAGCCGTTGGGATCTTTCGTCCAAGCTTGGCCCCAACCCGGCGGGAGCCAAAGCACTCGCCGCAAGCTGCACAACTCCAGACCTCCAGGCCAATTAGCCTGTCAGGGGAGTGTGGGCATTCGGCGCTTAGTGAAGGTTCAGCCATGATTACCTTGACAAAGGCTGCCGAAGGCCCAGTCCTGATCACTCTCTGGCGGCGCCAAGATCTTCTGAACATCTTCGAAACTGTAGACAGCACTCTGGGCTGCGACCCCTCTCTCCTCCTCCGGCTGTCTCTCAAGAGAGTCCTCCGTTCCTGACCATCACCGGATCAACCAACGGTAGCGCGACCAACCGCAAACCTAGGAGCCTTTCAAAGCACGGTGCTTTTCTTCACGGCGACAAGGCACAACGAAAGGGGGGAGCGAAAGCCGGAGGACAAGTCGGAGACAGATGGGAACGCAGTGACTCGTGCTAACACCGCCTTACAACAGTCATGTCTGAAGTCCTGAATCCCAAATGTCTTGATACCGACACGGTCTTAAAAGGACTTACCAAAGCGTATGCCAATGTGGCACCAAAAGCCGTCTGTGGTCATGTTCCACCAGCCGCCATGCCGATTCCAGCGAGGCCGTTGCACACATGCGCTGTGCTGCCGGTGCTTACAATAACCCTACGTGATCACTACGTGGAGGACGTCCATATCACAATCAGGGCTGGCTCTTGTGCTGCGGCTCGCTCGCTTTGCCTTGATCCTAGTTATGGTCTGTGGTTCTTTCGGAAGGGCGATGCAGGCGAGCAACTCCTGCTCGAGCCAAACAACACTTCGACAAGAAGCCGCAAAGACATACAAGCTGGTACAATCTGGCCAATCACACGGCAAGAAGAGAATGGATGGGAGCTCTTGGTGCAGGAAGGATGGCCAGTTAACTTGCAAGACAAATGTAATATGTAGTGACATGTAGTGCTTCAGCCAGGGTACTATCGCGAACTGGCTTCTTTGCACCAGTAGGCGTGCGTATACGGCAGAGAGCTTCTCAACGTACTCCTTGGCCACGGGTTGCGCGCTGATGTCTCAGACGAGCCCTTTCGCTTCCGCAGCCGACGAATTGCACGGTGCTCGTTTGCCCCTTGCTTTAGCTGAGTAGACTTCTCCAAGCTGCGGCTGACAGAGTCAGAGAAGGCAGGAGGGGTAGCACACTGAGACACATGGGACAGTCAAGAAGAGAAGCAGAAACAGTATGGAGACATGGGTAGAAACCACAGAGATGGGGGAGATGAACAAAGATAGATTGACAAATGTGGTACGCAAAGTCGCTAGACCGGTGCTTGCTTCGAAGCGTCCTCGACAGCACTGCTCGCAGGCTTCGCCCCCGCAGCCCGGTCGATATCCCGGAGAGTGGAGGCATACTGTCGGCAGCAGCTCTCCTTGACCGGGGGAGCGGTTTCTCAGACCATACCCGCGAGAGGCAAGGATGAGCGGTCACGGCCTACTACTACTACTACTACTACTACTACTACTACTGCTACTACTGCTATGACTATGAGGGTCCACCTACTCTACAAGGAGCGTTTGTCCCAAGCTTCGCCAACCCAAAAAGCCCAGCCGAGGAGCCAAGGTCTGAAGAACTCGCGTGGCCGGAACCTCAGTCGGACGACGAGGATGCGGAACTGAGGAGCAAGAAGGCACACAAAGAAACCGGCAGTCCTACTAAGCCGCTTGTTCTCCGAAAATGACTCCCGAGCACCGAGCACAACATTAAGCATCTCAGACTGCGACCTGCGCCTGGATGAAATTTGTGCGGATGATCTGGTTGATGAGCTCCTGCATGTGGGAAGCTTAGGAAGTCTTTGGAGCCTTGGCACGTATCGAAGGAGCACCCCGGAATCCTGCGTGGGGAAGTCCATCACCACCTCAATCACGGCTTTGCCAGGCCCTACACTCTGCATGCAGCTCCTGAAAGGAAGCCTGGCCTACTCTTGCAGCAACTCTGCCAAGCCGAACCTCCCTGCAAAAAGGTCGACACAGTTCACACCGATTCAGCTGCCGGTTTGCTTGCATGCAGATCAAAAGTGTAAACCTGGTACCTGTAGAATACAAGGGGCCCCAACATTTGACAGGACAGAAATGCAAACCACAGTATGTTACAACCGACGAAATGCCCTGGAAGCTAACATTGCCGCATCCGGTCCGTTCTGTTCCATGGCCACCAAATGCCCATCTTCTTTCCGAGGCCGCCGCAATTCCGAGTGCACTGTATCGTCCTGCCATGGATTGACTTGTTTCGCATCTTGCCTGGACGACTTCGAGCAGTGAGGGCTAAAGACCGAGCCCAACATAGCCCAAGTAACCCGAGCAAAAAACTCGTGACACCTCATGAGGCTGCCATGCCCAAATCTTGGGGCCAAGTGGCTGCGCGAGACGCTGGCGCAAAAGCGGGTGTTAAGGATGCCTGCGAAATACCGCGGCGTCCGCCGTGGGAAGGACCTGAGCCGGCTTCCTAGCAGAGCATCGAATTGTATCGAATCCTTGCTGGTAGTCCTGCTTGCTGTTTCGCTTTTGTTCAGACCTGCTCTTCAAGGGGTCGTCGGTCGAGCTACCAGACGTATTTTCGACAAAGCCGCTTCCAAGGACTCTTCCAGGCTGGATATTCTTCGACCAGCGAATGATCCGAGGCTTAGGAAAGACAGCAGCTTCGCCGAACGCGTTGAGTTCTCAAAGAGACTTCATGCTGCTCTCACATTGGGCCATGGGGCTTGTGATGGTGGGATGGGGACAGCAGCTGTGGGTTGAAGCTCATGTGGTGTCAGCGGTCTTCGGCATTCAAGATAACCCCGTTGCAGTGTCGGGCTCACCACGTCTACCCCGGAGCTCTACATAAGGGCCCTCGAATTCAGGATTTACCGAATTTGAAAGGGCCGGCTGCCACCTCTTCAACCGCCAGCTCTCCACATTCATCACGCCAAGAGGCTGTGCACTTAGAAAGTTGGCGCAGAGCTGTTCCCCTCCAGGGTCGGCATCTTTGGTCGACAAAGCTTCAGGGTTCACTGCGGCTCCAAAGTCTCTTACTCTTGGGATCAGGAGCTTACGAGACCTTAAACAACCAAAGCCCTTCAAGACGGCATCCTGGCGGTAGTGAGGCTGAAGCCTTGTCTGCGCGGCGCGCCCCGCAGGTGCTTGAGCACGGCGACCCACTTCTCTTTCAGTGAGCCTCCGGGATTTCTGCATTGTCCCTCGCGATTCCTACCTGCATGAAGCAGGGCTCTACCACTATGCCTGCCCCTCCAAGCCTGAGCTCATGTCAGGACAGGAAAGCCCGATGAAGGCGGTCACATGTGGAGTACGTTATGGGAATCACAATAAATTCGAGGCAAATGCTGTGATCTGTAAGTCTGTAAGCGTACTGCGGAAAAGACGGTGCACTTCATCTAAGAGCTCCTGCGAGTCTGCATCTGTCACGAGAAGTTTGTACCGCAAAGCCTCGCTCCAACATCAACATCGCCCGTATGATCGTGACGATTCACACCTCCCTCGCCTTATATCGCCATTTAAGGGGCCCCCGAAGAAGCCTGGGTTCCAGAAATCCTGGATCTTCATGGTAGAGTTGCCCCAAGGCAGCGTGATCTCCGGTCCTTGCCAGTCTTGCCTCGGAGAAGGAGATGGCCCGGCTCCAAATTTTCGGATTGCTTCTGATTAGGAGTGGGCTGCCGAGACTGCAGTTGCACAACAATCGGCCATGCATGTAAGAGGATGTTGCGGACCTTCGTTGTTCGTACCTCGCACCACACCATACTCACCATACCTGATTCTAACTACTGGTATTTGAATTTGCATTGGTGCATGACTCAGGCTTCATTTCAAAAAACACTGCTCTCCTCCGGACAAACAAAAAACACCATGTCCTTGAAATCTGCCAAGTCGCAACACTAGCATCTTGCCGCGGAGGTCGCAAACCAAACACGATTGCTGACCTGGACAATTCATCAGAACTCTTGTGCGGGGGGCCGTTTCAAGGGCATCCAGCAAGTCAACTACTGAGGCGGTGGTCACCAGTTCAAAGCTACGACGACGATATTTAATCTCTTACCGCTGTCTTTCGTCACTTGCGCATTTAAATTTCCAAGCCACGACTGTAAACTTTTCTGTCTTCCCCAAAGCATTTTCAGCGGCCCTATTGGTGCTGTAAGAGGCGCTGAAATAAAGAGGCATGTACTTGGCGAACTTCTTCACGAGCTCATAAACCCTGTGGGCTGATTCCCGGCTGCGCTCCTCGTCCTTGATACCTGGGAGTGGCGGGAGTGACAGAACCTAAGGTTCCGTATTCTGACACTCGGGGCGATGGCGATGGCTACATAGTGATCTGGCAGAACCTGCCTGCAAGAAGATGCAGTGCATTCAGGCATTCGGAGCGGCTGCTCTCAAGGCCTCAAGGCCATATCCACACCTAGGTTGCCTCACTCTGTGCTAAGGCTAAGGGAGTTGGCACCCAGTATGATCACGAACGAGAGGCGCAGCAGTAGCAGCTCGCTGCGATGCTCTTGCAAGAACGAATGGCAAGTTTGGAGTGCTGCCTGGCAAGGCGGACGTCGTGCACAAGCTTGCGGTCTAAACAACTGAGAAGAATGACAGCTCATTGATATACTCTCTTTGACTGAAACGATCGGTCCACCAGCTGCAAGGATTTCCGCCACTGCTCTGCACTGCTCTACAGCGCAGCCATGCCGCCGCCTCGAGAGTCAAGGCACAGGCGAGTGGTCCGTGATAGAGCCAGCCGTCAGCCTTCACCTTGGCTCCACTGGCTCCAAAGCGAAGAATGCCACGCTGTTCGCGTCGTGCCACAGACGTTGACATGCAACGACTGTTGCACTTCCGAGGTTTGCGACCAAGCAGGGCATACTAAGTGCCGTCATCCGCAAGCCCTAGTGCCTGCACTCCGTTTATCTTGTAGTCAATGTTAGTCTTTTTTGCATCTGACCTTGTGCCATCGCCAGAGACTGTCAACCAAGGGAGCATGTATAGATCTGAAACACCACACTTCTCACTCCGTTTCTCTAAGCAATCCAACCCAGTTAATTCTTCGGGTCACACGCAGGTCGAGGAAGCGGACCCCTGCCGTCGGGGCAGGCTCATTGTACTTCTGGTGTCAAGCGCTGAAAAACACCCCTCTTGTCTACTTTATTATGCATAGTACAAGCCGGTGGCTCTACTACTCGGCTATAGGGCAATAGGACCTAGGACTCCGCAACGGAACCGGCATCACTTCAGAATCGAACTCCGAACGAAAGAAGTTCTCTACTTTCTTGCTTCCTTTGCTTCTTAGGACCTGATCGGAAGGGGATCGGCAAGAGGGAATTCACTATCGGCTTTTTCCTCGAGCCCACCCTAAGCAATATACACTATAGACACACGACCAGTAGTGGCAGGACCTGCAGCGTTGCAGTAGATTCAGTAGATAAGATGCCGGGTGCAAGACACTCCATGTGAAGGCCTGCGGCAAGTTGAGCAGAGATATCCCAGTCTTGCGTCTGGCCGTAAGCATGGACGTAGGCCCAATTCACCTCGAGTCTCGAGCTCTGTTTCTTGCATGCGTGCTCTGTGCCTCGGAAGAACTAGAGCGTACCACAGCAACGTCTGGCAGTACTCGTCATGCTCTCTTCCCGTCTTCTGCCCTGCAGACGAAGCTGCTGGCAAAGGCCACATCTGAAAAGTTGCCGAGTCATGCGTGCCGGGTATTGACACCTGCACAGGCACTTCTGCCACTCTATAGAGAGGATCAACCTGCTCATGCTCGAGCCCTCTCATCATGCCATCTGTGACCCGACTTGAATCATCGTGGTCAAGCACAGGACGGATGGGGCAGCTCTCTTGCCCGTCTGACCGACCACCGACCTTTCACACATGTTCTTCCCTTTGATACGGCCTTGCAAAGTGGAAGCTGATCTGGGAGAGCAGCCATCCAATTACACAAGTCCAGCTTCTCCTGAACCAAACACTTCAGCTATCCGCCACTGTAAGCTGCGTCGGAAACCACAAGCAACGGTGGCGAGGCAGCTACGGGTCCTTTGCCAGACCCGGCTGGCTGTCGAGGAAATCGGTCACAACCGGAGTGCTGGGCTCCGTTGCCTTGAATCATGAAAGAAGTTCTAGCTGCAACTTCAGGTGTGTACATGCTTGAGCCGTCCCGGTCCATGTCTCTGATTTTCGGGTCGAGCCGCTGTGCTGGGCGTGGAGAGCTCGGGCCGCTCGCTCAGCTTTGGAGCGCGCGCGACTCGGACCGCGTGGCCTGGAGACTTGGACTCTTGGAATGCACCTGTTACTGTATGTTAAAGGGGTCTACTGATTACCAAGGTGGCAAGGCTACGGTGGGGCTTCGGCCGCCTAAGCTTGTGCACATGTGACCACCGGCGCAGAGTTCAACCATTTATGCCGCGAGGGCTCGCGACTCCTCCCGGATGGAGTCCTAAACAGCTTCGAGCACTCTCCCCGCCTCGCCGTCGTCTCCAACGGCTGGAACGACCACGTGCTTGGCACGTCCTGCTCGGGATAGTCATGCTACGATGTTACATGGTACTTGCGCTGCCACATGCGGGAGAAAGTGCATCCCAAGCCTCACGTCAATGCTCAAAAGTCGTGCCTGACTGCTGCTAGGAAGTACTGTTTGAACTTTTAGTACATGATTCTTGCTCTTCTCCGACGAACTCCTGGTCATCATGCTCGTCATCGCACGACAGGCGACTGCTGGCCCGAAGCCTGGGCTGAAGAGCTGCTATGCTCCATCGAATCCCTCCCCCTTCTTCAGGGCAGATGTCTCGTTCGGGAAAGTGGGGTGTCTGTTGAGGAGCATTCTTGATACGCGTGTCGAGGGGTTGAAGGAAGAGGGTCCGAAGCCACGGCATGCCCTTAGCCAGGAGGAGCGTCTAGCATCCGTGATGGGATCAGCCACATCGGTTTCGCGAGATTCTCAGCATCTCCAGCTTGGATGTGCCTAAGAACTACACCCTGTGGGGTGCCGGTGCCTCAGGATCTGGATCCCCATCCTCCGAAGGCTAAGGCTGTAGGGAGCTTGGCCCAGCCAGATTTTCCCAGTTTGGCGGAGGCACGCTCTGCAGCATCCCCATCCGGGTCGACAAGCACCGCTGCCACAACCTCAAGTCGAGCTTCGGTGAAGGAAGGTGCTCGAAGGTAACGGGGTGGAAGTACGCAAAAATTCCGCATCCCGAAACCAACCTCATGTGAGAAAGTGCAGCTGGTAACCGAACTACTTCTCCTGCCTAGCTTTCAACACAACTATGCTTCTACCTTTTCTGCCCATTCCCCCAAACCCTTACAGTAAACCCTGACCCCGCGAAGGAAGCAGACTTGCAGCCCGGCGCACGCCCTCGCCCCCAGCGACGCGCTGGAACGAGTCCAAGGCCGCCTCCTGCAACGGAGGTGGGAAGAGATTCAAAGCTGCAGTGAACCGGTACATTTCTGTGTATAGATACACATCTACCTGACATATACGTGTATCTATATTTTTGGAAATACATGTACATGTACATGCTGCTACAGATATCGATATGGAATACATGTCGATACACATATGGATACATCAAGCTCACGATGATGCCCAACACCATGGGGAATACACATTCTTTGAAGCTTTGCACAATGGGCGAGCATGGATCTCGAAGGTGTTGGCCTGGCGTGCTTTCATAGGCGAGTTGGTTCTGTCCCTGGCTGCTTTAGACTTAGAAGCTCGCAGGGGCAGAGGTAGCCACTGAAGCCTAGGAACCTGACTATATTATACTATATTATATACTATATTTTACTATATTATACTTCCACTGACCTTTCCCACGGAAGTCCTCCGAGCAGCTCCATGCAGAGAGCTGCAAAATTCGCCAGCCTTCTCTTAACTTCCATTGTTGTTGCATGCGGCAAGGATAAAGGCGCAGATCAGCGCAGCTCTGGAAGTTTTTCTGGGGCGCGGAGACGGGCCTCCTTCGAGCAGAAGTCCCTACTCAGCCGACCTGGCCCCAGTCCCCAGCCTCCGGAGACAGCACCGGCATCACTTGCTCCCTCGGCCTCCCCAGAGGGAATCATGTTCAATGCATGGTGGTTCGGGGGAGAGGGGGTTTGATACCTACATCGCTAGCCCCTCGAAGCCTGCTCCGTCCCTGGATGCTCTTCACAGGCCATGGGGCCCATGGGGCGTATGCGACAAGCAGGCGGAAGTGCTGCGGGATGCTTGCTTTGGACTATTGTTCCTCGATGTAGCAATCTGCTGCGATGCCGCGTTTTGAAGTCTTAAGTTGGGTGGAAAGGTGCCGCCGCTGTTGGGCCTGTTCTTACACACGGTCGACTCTCCTGTCAGCATCAACGCAGGCCCTGGCGATGCGGTAGAACTGGCACTTCTTCACATTTCGCAGTCCATGATTGTGCCTTTGATCGTCCAATTATTGCAGAGACGGACTTGACCTACACAACAATTCGATTCTCACATGTAAGCTTGTATAGCTACTGATGGCGAGCTCCGGACGATGATCAAACACTTGCCCTCGTCCGCGACGAAGTTGCCCAAGTTGATCTCAAACTTGTTCGGACCTCAGATATTCAAATGGCATGTCGCTGAGGATCTGTTGTCAAGTTGAGTTCTGCAGCCACAAGGCCCACGGCACTGCCAAGCTCGCGACAACTGTTGTGCGTCATCTTGGCATATCGCTGGGCATCAAGGCAGAGGACGCAGACATGCGCCTCAGGTGCTGGGACACAAGCAAAGACAGGGTGCAAAAGCGACACAATCAATGAATCAAGGTCGGCCCTATCTCGAGTGTAAGAATTGCATGGCTGCCCTCGCAAATCAAACAGGGCATACATAATGTGCATGGTGCTCGATGCGCCGCCCAGAGCATAAGAGTGAGATAGGCTGCTTCGGATGCCTCATAAAACCTTCCACAGTCTACAAGTTAGGCACAGCTGTCAATCACATTGGCCACAAATCCAGGGCCGCAGCTCGTCGAATGGCCTTGCGCGTGCCCATGCCAGGCTGCACAAACCTCAGGAGATTTGGGCTTTGGGACTACGTGCAGGTTTCGACGGCACGCAGCAGGTCCGCAAGTGAGCAGAGAACTCTGCAGTGGTACCGGAGTACTGCCAGCCTCGGTAGATCCCACACCTCAGCAGCAGAGTTGTGCCACGCAGCCTTTGGCTTTCCCTCGCTCGAGGTACCGCCATTCACCACACTCGGCGCCCCGGCGTGTCTATCAGCTTCACCGGGTGCTCTTTGAACGTCCTGAGGCCGTTGGGGCTCACCCTTCTTTTTGGCGCTGGTCCCCCACATGGAGTGGACAACGCTGGCGTCTACATGATGATGCCAAACACATGTTCTCAGACAATTGCAGCGCCTTGGGTGATCCAAGCTGCTAAAAATCAACGTCTGCCGTGTAAATGTATTCAGCGACATGCGAAATCGCACACGTGCAGTGGGGTCCAGTTAGTGATGATGGAGTCCATGGTCGTGCCATCCGCTTCGTCCACCTGGCAGGCTTTTGGAGAACCATCGAAGCACAAACAGGAAAGGATGAGTCGGATAAGCATATGGGACAAAACATGGGCGCACTGTAACGCTTGAAAGGCATGATGCTGCTTCTCTTGATGCGGGCTTCGGACTTTGTGTTCGGCAACTGAGGACTACACCACACAACGCTCCTCCTGAAGGAGCGCATTGATGATGCTGGACCTTTCGTGTCTACGTGTCTCCGATACCTGCAATTACATGCTGGCATATGTTGGCTCTCGCAACTTTAACACACGCACACAAAGGAAAGCCAAAAGCCGTTTGATGCCGTTTGAAAATATGGCTGCTGTTGTTGCAGGTCTGATGTGGGGTGCTCAGATGGAGCTGCTAGACCTGACTATATACTTGCAGCATACCAACGACGCATCTTTGCCGCGGTGTACCCAACTGCATCTGACAAGCCGCTTTCCGCCGTTCGGCTGCCCAATAATCGCCACCTGCATCCAGGTGCGAACGGAAGATCCAACAGTCCCTCCTCGCTCTCTCCTGCATGCGTTGTTGCCACCTGTCTGTCTAGATTTTGCACCTATTGCGCAGCGGCTGATCCATTGTGTAGCAGGAGCCTTCATGGCGTTCTCCATCTCTTGAGCACGACGATGCCTCGACTTTCCAATAATGCCCAGAAGTGGGGGATGGGTCTGCAATGGCGCATGAAGGGCGGAAACAATATGACAGTCTGACTCAAGCAGATCCCTCCCGAGTGCTCATTCAAGGCTAGCGCCGCAAGACGTAGTCCCTTGCCTGCAGGAGATACGTTGGGTTGATCATCTCAGGGCGTAACAAGGACGAGCATATGCCATCTGGAACATGGAAGAACGCTGCGTGAGGATGGGGTCCAGCCGTGCCGAAACGCGGCACTGTCAGAAGGCCAACCGCGAGTTGTGAAAACATCCACAAACAAGCAACTCTGAGCGCCAGGATTTGGAAGGCAATACGTAGCGGACGAGCCGCAAACCACAGAAAGCTTGCTCCGAAGTGAAATGCAATCTTCTGGGGTTGTGATCCAGGCTCTCTTTTGAGGGGCAGCGAGACCTGGGCTGAGTTTGCAGACCTGCCTCTTTGGTCGGAAGCGAGCGCTGTTTGGCCTCAGCCACGCGATTTCACAAACGGATATCAACGGACGGAGTGCACGTGCACTTAATCTCGATAGGAGATCCTGCTGTCTGAACTCTAGAGACTTGTCGTCTAGCTGTTCGGGAGGCAATACGAGGTCAGGACCATAGCTAAGAGCTGTCAAGTGGATGACGGAATTAGACACCGCTTCCCAAGAGTCACTGGGGAAGAGACTCCAAGCCAATACTTGCCAATTCGCCTTCCGTCGTCATGCATAACAGCTGCCTCGGAGATGGGCCGGGGGTTGTGAAAAGGGGACACCATGCTCTGCCTGCCAAAGCAACCGGGCTTTTTGCAAACCGCAGGTAGCGAGAAAAGCTGATCGAAGCTGCCAGTACCGGGACGAGACCGCGCCTTGAGCCCCGGGTCCAATGCACCGAGAGGATCAGAGGGATGATGCGCATAGTACCTGACGCAGCTTCCTGTGAACTTACAGAAGGAAGTTCCGCAGGCTGCAGAGGAGTTAAACACATATCTACGTAGGCTGTAGATGCATGATTGGCTGGAGGAACCGTGCTCACCAACATTGCGAGCCTCAAAGACCTCCACTTCTGCTCCGGCATGTCCAAAGTCAACCAAGGCAAGGTGGGTCCTGGTGACAGGCATGGAATATGGCGGAGTTCTCAGGGCCCCTCAGGCTCAGGTCTGATCGCTCTTAGAAGACAGCAAAGAGCTTCAATCAGCAGTGCCTGTACCGTGTGCTCCTTACAAGTGCTCACTGCTTTGAAAGAAGGGGCAGTAGGAAGCCCCACTTTGATCGTCCTCATACTACTACAAGGGGCAATCCTGTTTTCCAACTAGGTGCAAACTCTACTACTTCCAGGCAATTCTCGGGTTGCCTGGTGGAGGGCCACTCTCTGAGTCGCTCTGTCCACTGAGCTCCTGCAGCCGCAAACGGTCTCAGGTCACAGAGCGAAGCTTCCCTGAAGCCCAAAGGCCGATGCACTTCTGCGCTGGTCTTTGCTGGTCAGCTGGTCTTGACAGGCGTGACTGGACTTGCGGGTATCTCCTCCTCGTCCTCAAGGTCGCCCTCGGCCTTTTCGGGCGACTGTCTCGAGTAAACACTCGGGGACTGATGCAAACACTATGCTTTAAACAGGGGGGAAGAGCTTTCAGGCTTTCAGCCAAGGAGAGACGGAAGCAGCCCTGTGAAAGAGGTGTGGGTGGGTAAAGGTGGAGGCCATCCCGTGATTCAGGTCAATAAACATATAATAAACTCACACGTGGCCTAAGATAGCAAAGTCACTGCCCACCTCTTCCTCCTCAGCTTCCTCGGCCATCCCCTCGCCCTCCAGACCTACGACACCGATGACATGGAGCTCGACCGCAAAACTCTGACCTTGAATTCTCGGAAGGTCTGCCCATGGCCTTGCATGTACATGCCTTCCTCGTCGGTTGGCATGAAAGCAGTGCCCGGATTTTCCTGACCAGTGCTTCCCAGCAACGGGCACTAGCAATATTATGGCATAAATTGAATCATTCAAAGTAAGTAACCAGTAAGATCTGGTAAGTACACTGTCGCATGGCATGCAGCACACATGCCACTACGGACGCGCTCTTACATACCTTAACGCAGGCTGAACTCTTTTTCGGAATGCCCAAGTATAAACGTGCTGGTGCACCTCTTCCTGCTGCTGAAGGTGGCCAACTTCTAGAAGCAGCCGATCGTAGAGATCGTCCTTGATTGTGCGCAAGGGGCTCAAACCTTAAACCTGACTGCTGGAAATCGAGCACACATCCCGACAACCTCCGACGAACACTCTCGGAGCAAAGCTGTCAAAGGATACGGATTCGGTAGCCCTCTCGGGAGCGCGCCATGCCTTGGTTTTGCTTGGCAGAGATGATGACCTGAAGTCCAGATGACAGTCTCCTCTGCTTCGCTGGAGCCCAGAAGCATCCGCTCTCATCCGCTCTCTGCTTGCACACTCCGGAGACTCTCCGGAGGCCCGGCCGGATCTCCCACCCCGAGCTCGTAGCAGTCGTTCAAGTAAGGGCCGATGAAAGTGTTCTCTGCCTTGTTGGCAATGAGGATGATCCTAGGCGCATTGGGAACTTCCGGCGGCGAGCCCGCAGGCATTCTGGACCGGGATCCAGCGGGACATCCCTCGGCGTCTCCGTCTTGAAAAGGTCCCGGTAGCGATCTGCCTGCAAATGAAGCGGCTGGCCGGATTTGTCCGAGCGCTACACTTTACCAGGAGAACTGACCCTCACGCTCTTGCGATCGGACAGAAGGTTTCAGGAGTCTGCGGAGATCCGAGCGAGTCTTATGGAGTGCCCGCGAGATTGCTCTGATGCCTGTCTGTCCAGAAACTTGTAGGTCTGAGCTCGAGACATTCCCTGCCCCATCACGAAGCATCTTGGCAATCGCAAGGTCGCTTGGGGTGATCTGGCAAAAGGCTAGCGCAGAAGCCGAATGAGGCGCCCGAGGTCATTCGCACGGGAGCAATGGGATTTGGGCGGAGGTTCAGCAGCTCACACTGTTTTTGAGCAGCCATGATCAACTGCAGCGACTGTTCTTATGCAATGTCGCCAGCAGGAATTTTTGCTTGTAGACCATAGTAAGGGAAGCGGGCTTTCACAGCTGTTCATCAAAGCGATCACTTCAGGGCACACCAATTTCTCGCCTTAACCACACGATGTGCATTAATGTGACTCACACCAATTTCGGGGGGCCACTACTGAGCTCCACCCAACTGCTGCTGGCGGCACTGAGTCGGTTGCTGCTAGTGATGCTGCAGCTCCCCGCCGCGCACGTGATCATGACACCGGAGAGCCAGAAGTCCGGCTGCAGAGCCCTACTGTGACTGCGAAGGACGCAGGCATAAACATGGTTGGAGAACGCCCTCCTGTGCATCGATGAGGAACAGGATCGCCTGCGCCTGCACAGCATGCTCCGAGCTGCTGGATGGGGATTCAAGTCCAGGAGAAGGACAAGCAAAGCAAACAGGCTCTCCCTGCCTCTGCGATCGCTCTCCACACCTGCTCCTGCATAGACTGCCTCAAGGGTCAGATACTGTAGATGACCCTGTCAACGGTCCTTCTGCATAATAAGGATACAAGCTGAAGAAGCACATGGACAATGCAGCGAAAAATCCAGATCACAAACCTGGCAGCCCAGCGGCAGCAGCGTGTTTGCAGAAGTCTCCTTCGGGCTTTCAAGTCCGCCCGTGTCAATGACTCGGAGCAGCAGCCTTGCAAAAGCCAATTCTGGTACCACCGATCTTCGGTCAGCAAAGAAAAGCAAAAGCTTCAGGACAGGTCTGTAATACTGCTAAATACCCGATTGCTTGAAATTGCCAGGTACACACTAGTTCTGCATCGAGCCCTGGTGTTCCGGTGCCGAAGAATTAGTTGACAAAGATGCCCCAAAGCAGGCAGCCAACCGGGCCTGTGGAAAGAGCCACAACGACATCTTGTTTCGAAAGCGCCCAAGACTTGCGTTCGAGATTTGCAGCTGAATTCTATTGCAAAAACGAGGCTTGATACTGGTGTGTAATGCGACAGCAACGATGCAATGTCTCACAGGCGCTTGGCATCACACCCATATAGCAACGCCAGCGCGTCTTTGCGATCGCGGGTGGTGCCTCCAAACTCTGAAACGGAATGAAACCAGGCAGCATGTGCTTAAGAGAAACCAGGCTGAAACCAATGACAGCTCAGAATGATGTCTCCTTCTTCCGGATCAAGGCAGGCATTTTGTATCTCGATGTGTCCAAGGTCGGCTTCCGTTTGGCATCGTCCATGGTTCTTGCCATCCGATCCAGCGATGTTGGGTTGGCTGATCGAGCGGGTCTCGGCGCCTTTCGGTAGCTGGACAGATTCTGGAGGCAGCAGCCCGAAAGGTTTGCTAATTCCGACTCTTGCGAGAGACCAAACTGCAACTGCACGCACCTGCGAGCCTGCCCTGCCCTGCCCTGCCCTGCTCTGCCCTATGTTACCCTGTTCTGCGGAAGCTATCGGCAGAATGCGCTCGCAGCGCTGATTAGGGCATTCGGAGCTGGTGCTCGCGCTTGGCCGCGGAGTTGCATGCAGTTGAGCGGGGCCTCGCTCCCTTGGCTGCTAAGGATTGCTAAGGCTTTCACGCGCGGCATACTGACACGTCTGCCTCAGCTATTTCCATCTGAAGCAGCAGAGCCCAGTGAGGACAAAACCCGTAAAACTCTTCAACCCCTCGGTGTGTCCAGAGAGGCGGAACTTCTTGAGGCGGAGTGTCTATGTCAGTCTATGTCGGCATCACCTACGAAACGGGCAACACAACAATCAAGGTTCCCAGCCTGCACGATCGCTGATGATGGCGCGGTGGTCTAGGTCCCGCTTCTTCCGCCGTGTACCTTGTACCGACGACTTCTCAGGTTTTTCCGGAGGTTCGGTGTCCTTGCTTCGGCATGCAGCACTGTCAGCGCAACACCCCACAAACATCGTAGTAGCCCGCGAAACTGTGGTTTCAGCGAAGGTCACCAGACTGTAGGCGATTGAACAGAGTCGACTTGCCCACGTTCGGCCGCCCGACAATTGCGATGCTTATAGGCTGGATATCCTGTGGCGGCATCAGACAGTGCTGCAAATGATCTGTCGCAGGAAATGCCCGAGCAACAGGCCTCTGGGACGTCTCTCTGAAACTGATGACGACCTCTGCTGGCAAGAAATGTCTATTCTGGCTGAGCTGAAATGCTAGATCTTGACTCTTGCTAATGTATCAAATTAAGTCAATCCTTGTTTGGTGTACCGTGGTTCAACTACGCCGATCTTGCCTTGCCAGGACTAATGGGGAGAACAGTGGCCTCATGTGAAGCACCGGTGGCACGGCTGCACCCGAAATGTGCAGCACGAAGAAGCCCGCAAACCCTGCAAACCGCCGTGCAGCTTGGTCGCTGGTTGGAATTCGCATTGCGAAATAGCGGTTTGCGACGGTCGGCCTGCGAGATTGGTCTTGGCAGTGACAAGTTACGGTGGCAGTTAAGTATAAGATGATTGTGTACCAGAAACACCCGTCACGCATATGCCTCATCAAAAACTGCCCCGAAAGGCTCCTCCACCACAACAAACAGTGGCAAACAAGCAAGCAACCAGCTTTCAAGACAAACGAGACCCACTCAAGCACGGACACGCACGTGTCCACGCACGCACATAGAGGCGCAGACATCGCAAACACAAACACACAAAACCTAGTGCGTGGGCGGCTTCAACTGCTTAGATAAGTCAAACAGATGCTGCTGGTTGCTTGGGAGCCCTGCTAGCGCCTTTGAAGGGGCAGGACTACTTGAACATGCAGCACAGCATCATTGCAGCCGCACCCCTTGTTCTTTCAGGCCCGCAGGAAGCAGGCTTTGTAGTGCCGTCAGCATGCCCACTCTCATGACTCAGGTTGTGGGAGGGCATTCAATAAGCCACGTAGACATGCTGTGCTTGGAACTCGTCTCAACAGCGCTTGCAAAGCTGAGGTCGTGATTCCTCCCACTACCTGGAAATCTCGGAACACGTCGGAAGCCGCCCGGGGCAGGAACAAATCGAGCCCCGACGTATGAGGGGCCCCCCCCGGGCTGCCAAAGAACCGAAGGGGACCGAAGCCCGAGCCTTGGCCTTTCCCTACGACCTACACTGGCTGCAACCGGACTGGTTGCACAAACTTTGTTCTGCTCGGCTCCATCGCACCACGTGTCCACCTGCACGCAGGCTGACCCTGGTTCTCTGTCCAAAGTACTGCCTCTCTGGTGCGAAGCTGAACAGAGCTACCGAGCCCCTTCACCTAGTTCTCTCGCTGGCGCCGGAACGCACCTTCAGCGGCCGGGATACTCAGCGGTCGGCCCCAGCCTCAGAAAGCCAGGCAGCATGCGAGTGCACCAACAGAGGTGTGCGGAAGCCTTTTTTACACAGGCTTGATTGGAGCTCGCCCGGCGTGCGGAAGCCTACAAGCAGAACTCCGGTTTTTTTCAAGCATCACACTTCGAGAGCATCGTAGTGAACTCGGCCTCCATATAGGAGTCTCACGGGCTCGAACTTTTCCGCTTCCCCGAAAGATGCTATTCGCAGGAAGTGGTCCGATCTTCGTTCGAAGATGTCCACCCGAACGCGATGCAGCTTGGCGCACAGAGCGATTTCCATGGCACCACCCCAGCGGGAACCCTCCCTCATCGAGAGGGCATAGGCCTTCGGATCTTCTCCTGAATCCCAAAGGATCCAGTCAGAGATTGGGTTCCCAGCAACCTCCTCCTCTGGGTGGGTCGCAATGTAGTCCGCGATCTCGGCGCGGAGTGCGGAGGCGCCCTGGCCCTTTTTTTTCAGGCCGTGGCTCAAGGAGTGGAAGAGGCAGGACCCATCTCCGGGCTGTGGCAAAACCCGGGCAGACTTCGGCAACTTCTCCGATACCAACTCGGCCTCGGCTTTCCCTGCGCCTTCCTTCTGATAGTTCTCGTAAGCATCCTTGTGGTCGTCCCGGGGCTTCTTGAAGTGTGGGCAATCATCCGTGGCATGTGGCCCATCGCACTTATCGCAGGGGCCGTTGGGCTTTGCAACTGGTTTGGCTTCTGCAGGTGCTGCCGGCGCCAGCGCTGCTAGCAAAGCCTTTTGGGGCTCTTGGACCTTGTCGCGTGCAGGGAGACCTGTCGATTTCTCTAAGCTCTTTTCGGCAGCTTGTCGCGCTACCTGTAGAGCCTTTGCCTCCGCTTCCGCCAGCCTCTTCTGCTCTTGCAACTCGCGCTCCAGTCGTTCCTCCTCCATCCTCTCACGCTCTTTCCTTGACTCTTCTTCTCGAAGTCGGGCCTGCTCCCGCTCAATGTCCAGGTCTCGCTCTCGCTCTTCCTGATCCTCCTCCTTTTGGTCCTTCTCCTTGGAGAACTCCTCCTCCGTGCTGAGACGGAAGGTCACGGAGTACTTTGCGGACTTCTGAGCAGCGGAGAGTGCGGCTGGGACCTCCTCTGCGGGCACACGCTGGCCACATACTGCCACAATGCGCCACCCTCGATGGATCTTGCTGGACTGGCTGCTGGTCACAGCATTCCCGGAACGACCACCCACCTTGAAAGGCGGCGCCTGGGGTAGGCCTCGGAGCTCCACTACGACATCTTTGTTGGCGATTTTGGCCAGGGAAGGTGTTAAGCTGACTGCCGCCCCTGCTCGCACGGATGCACGCTTCTGCGACGCGTCCGGGCCCTGTAAAGCAATGGCTTGACCAACTAAGCTTGGCAGTCCCACCACGCGACCAGACAGCTCAGCAGCCGGAGCAGCTCTTTGTGCCATGCGCGCGATCAGCTACCATGACCATGTCTTGACTGTGTGCACGGCCGCGTGAAACCCCTAGTTTGCATCGTATGTGTGTATATATATATATATGTATGAGCCCGACACCTTTAGGGGCTATATAACCACGTTTTTGTTATCTTCAGCACATAATGGAAAGCAAAATGAAATACAGAAGCACAGCCCGAAATACAAAAACACAACCCGGAAAGTTTCAGACTAA